CTCTTCTCTGATCTTCTCTCTTCTACTCTTCTCTTCTGTCTGACTCTTCCCATCTCTGCTTTTCATCTGTCCATACTGTCGGAAGTTTGACTTCTAAACTTCCTTCGATTATATAGTATTTGATGTACCGTACATATTGATACACACACACACATGTGCGCAGAGCTGCTTCGTCCATCGTCATCCATGGTCCGGAAACCTGTGCCACAACGCCAAGATGCAGTGACAACTCTTCTTTCGAGGCTATTTCTTGGACTGCCTCGCGCAGGCAAGATTGGCCCACATGCTGTGCGAGCATGAAGTAGTTTTATGTACCGCCAAGCTGCAAGCTGTAAACCATGTTGTAAACCCCGTCCAAGCTGACACAAGTTGGACTTGGGCATGTGATCACTTGCTGAAATAGAGAGCTTTTACCGCCGAACCCTATCCAGCTTCGTAAAGAGTATACCAATGAAAATGTGGCCCAATCTTGCTGGTGTGGTGTGTCGCCTTGTCTTTGTCCACCACCCCATTCACAGAAAGGACTGTGTCGCCAATACATATGCGGTCCTTCCAGGTAGGAAACTGTTGTCACTGAATTCAGCTATGCTTCTTGCAATAGAGTATGATGGTATGATTAAGGCGGCCTTGGGGTACTGCTTGTTCCAGTCATCGATCAAACTTTCATCGGCGATCTTCAGAATTGTCTTGGCTGTCCACAACGAAGCAGAATAGAAGCTTGCATGAGCAACTGAGTTCAACGGGGGAACTACGTGGAAGTTCATTCGGTCTTGATCAGCAAATATGTCATATGTTGATTTAAATGTGAAAAATGTGCATCATACAAGTACACATCTAAAAGAAAAGCCGAATGACACCACCAAGGTGCAAATGTTTTTGGATCTGTTGCGGCACCCAGCTTCTTTCCGGGGCGCTTCAGAATTTTCACTTCCTTGGGGCTTCATGTCTCTGAACCTCCCTTCGATGAATCAAATGTTGGCAGTATCTTCTGACATGTATCGACAAGCGACCAGGATCAACTTTGAGAAGACAATCTCCAGTTTTTCCTGCCTTAAAGATGTTCAGAGGTCACAAATCAAGAATGAAATCGGGCGAAGGAATTTTGCCACTACTCATGTTGTTCCCTTTTGTCATTGGAATTGTTGGAAGAGCGCCGTAGGTAAGTTTGCTTCCTAAAATGCTGTGGTGTATGTTTTGCACGCTGGCAGCACTTGGCACTTTAGACGCCAGAGGTGGAGGAATGCGGACCAGCCACTCTTTCAACTGCCGCAGAATGTCTGACTTGTCCTCGGTTTGGAACAACAACTATCCATTTCAGGGAAGCAGCCAGGCTGCAAACAGCACCTCGCATGAGATAGGTCAAGCATTGAACAACATGGGCGTCAGGACTGAGAACCTTGATACAACCAGACTAGAAACGATTGAATTGAGTTATACATATATATTTATGTATATACATATATATATATATATACATATACATATATATATATATATACATATGTGTATACATATATATATATATATTTATTTATTTAATTATATTTACATATACACACACAGCTTGTCTAGAGTCTAGTGCATGGTTCAAGTGTTCAGTTGGTTGCATGGTTAAACTCAACTCAAATCTGTCTGTCATCTCGTTTGTTTGCTTGTTTGCGCGGACATGAGTAACGGACCTACTCTGTACTGCAAGTATTGATCATCGACAGACGGGAATGTCCTATCTCCTGCAGGTTGGGACATTGCGGTGGTTGTACACATTGGGACATTGTCCTATCATTATTATTGTACTCAATCTATGGAGAACTGTTATTCGGTGTGGTCTCAGACTCAGAAGCTCTCAATCAAGGCGTAGAGACGTCTATTAATATAATCATATGACCATGTATATATATATACACATATTACAGACATACATACATAACATAACATTACATTACATTACCATTACCATACCATTACCATACCATACCATACAATACCATACCATACCATACCTACATACATACACAAAATTACATAACATTGCATACCATTACATACCATTACATACCATTACATACCATTACATACCATTACATACCATTACATACCACTACATACCACTACATACCATTACATACCACTACATACCATTACATACCATTACATACCACTACATACCATTACATACCACTACATACCATTACATGCCATTACATACCATTACATACCATTACATACCATTACATACCATTACATACCATTACATACCATTACATACCATTACGTACCATACCATTACATTACATTACATTACCATACATTACCATACATTACCATCCATTACCATACATTACCATACATACATACATACATTACCATACATACATACATACATTACATTACATTACATTACATTGCATTGCATTACATTACATTACATTACATTACATTCTAATACATACATAGCATAACATAACATAACATAACATTACATTACATTACATTACATCACATACATACATATTTACATATATACATCTATACATCTAAGCATATATACAGATATACATATATACATACATGTATATATGCATATATATATACCTTTGTACACAAGTTTACAGCATGTATACATATAGATATATTATATGTATACATATGATGCAAGCAGTTTGGGTTCATTACAAATCGGTCAGTATCCTTTGGGGTTGTTTAAGTTGTAAGACCAGGCGTGCACTGTTCTCGCAATTTCTTGTGCCATTTGAATCCTGTGCATGTCGCAGGGGCACTAAAGAACTCTTGCACAACAGCGGACGATGACCATACGTGGATAGGACCACCACGGACGACCGCATTATTAATTATATTTAAGGCTAAGCCAGGACCGCCTACCGCCTACAGCATGTCATTCCTTCCCAATCTCCCCATAATTTGCGGGAGGCTGATGTACAGCTGAAGAATTATCGGCAACTGTTGGATCATTCCAATCAAATCCTACAAGCCGTCCATGCAGCATGAAGTGTTCTTTCACCTCAGAACTTCTGTTCTGTCAATCTTAAATTCTGTTTGAAACATTACATTGTCCTACCCATCAGTGCTGGCTGAGCATCTGTGAAGTCATTCACTGAGTATATCTTATCACCTGCTTGAGTCAAGGACCGTGTTTGGCTCAGTGTAAAGCAACTCCCATCTGAATGAAAGGAAGCAAATGGGTTCATTCGGCTGACGTTCACCTGGGCAAATGAACTCATCTTCTTGCTTGCAGTACCTGCAGAATGGATTTTGGCAGGAGCGTGCAGGAGCAACATATAACATAAGCCACTGGAATAAGACTTCCAAGAAGCAGCCATTGAAGCCACTAGATGCCACTTCGTAAAATGCGGGCACGTGTCCAAAAGGCCCCCTGGTGTGACGGCCTGCAAAGGTTGCAGAGTAAGGACCAAAGGAGTTACGATAGAATACTTTAGAATAGAATAGGCAACAGGATACATTAAAGGGAAAGTCTAGATTTGTGACTTGGCAGGAGGGATTGGAGAACTGTGAGGAAACCAGCATCAAAACACTTGGCAGACTTGGCCACTGCGCTACTGAGATCTACTGATTCTACTGAGACTCGGGGCCCTAGGCCCAGCTTTCCACCTTCACTTCAAGCGAGTCTGTCTCAAGTTCGAAACCGACTGGCTGGTCATCCTGGACAGATTGGACCCCCCTTCGCAAACCAAAAGCGATTTCAATGGTGCATCGGAAGTGAAAGAAGATGAAAAAAGTATAAGACATTATAAGACCATTGAGCAGATTGAGCGTCCGTTGTCCGGCATTCTTCAGGTTGGGACCTCCTTGCTGAGGAACACTTCATACAAAATATAGCCGCTCAGGCCTGAGGAAAAGGAGAGAAAAATCATGGGCACAGAGCGGGAGCGAAATCATATTGATCATATTGGGTAGCAATGCGTGGCATATATTGGTTCTGTTTCTGTCCTAGCCACAGAACGTGACTCCAGGCGACACTTCAGCCGATCTTGCACATTATTTAGCAGCTGAACGGTTTGACGACGTTTGACACAACGGCCAAGATCTAAGATCAAAGTAGAAAATGCTGCCTTCAACCCACGCATGTCGTAAACCTTGGACCCGGAGATACAAGATTCATTGGATCCGAGTGCAAAGTCTGACAGAATGAATGAGAGAAGTGTGAGGATGTGGCTCGAAGATATCTTGTTCGGAAACCTCAGATACAAATATACTCGAAACATGTTCACACCTGCCTTCAAAAAAATGTATCAAAAATCCAAATGGATTCTGTTCCAAGATGTTACATGCACATCCAAGCGGACAGCTGGGCACTCTCACGGTTTGTCGCTCCACCCTTTCGGGCGAGGTTTCCTATCTGCACAGCATTTGCCACCCATCCTGTCAAGGCCTGTTCGACTCTGTGACGCTGAATTTTTTTAAAAAAAATAGATAAACCATGATAAACCATTCAGTGATGAGGACAAGAGATGGACAAGAGATGTCAAGCAATGATAAGAGCACCAAGAATTCGCCAGCGCCTGGGCCTACATCAGAAATTGTGGCTTACAGGTGACAAGATGTATTGTTGGGCTAACAGGTTCTGCGTCTTTTGCTGTCTTTCTGGTTACTGGTCTTTCCATGCAGCTCTGCGTGGGACTTGTCTTGAGGGACCGACCAATGGCAATTCAAGCTTTCAATCAGACCATTACGATCACTACGGATTCCAAAACGGCGGTCAGGAAACGCACCTATTTAACCTGTTTAACCTATTTGACATGTCCTTCGTTCTGCTTCCCTCTTGAACCCTACTAGACTAGGTTGGGTCCTACTTGTAGGTGTGGTCAAGAAGTTTCCTATGGTGTGACACCGTTTGTGCCTCGTGCCAAGATTGTCAATTGCATCACATTCCAAGCAGATTCCAAGCCCATCATTGGCAAATTCATGTGTCAGAAAGCTCTGCACCGTTCATTGACTCACGACAGCACGTGGAGTTCTCTCACCTTTTTCATTGAAGCTTCAAGCACACAAGCAAGTGCATGTGAGCCATAAATTCGTTGACATGGTGGCGTTCATGGCATTTTGCCAAGCAAAGAACTTGTTGGAAGTTTCCTTTCAGGATTTCATCTCCAAGCCTACGAGCGTCTACGAGAGTCGATGAGAGGCAGATAGAATCTAATCATCTACTCAAAGCATCTCAAAGTATCTCAAAGCACTTTCTGATTCAGCGGGTGCTCTATCCAAAGACGGGTTCTGAGCATCATCTTCTTCAAGGCCTGTCCGTGATACGATGTCTCAATGTGAGATGCTCACCCCAGCAGGTGGGAGCTCATAGCGTGGCAAGTGCGGCAAGCACAATCGAACAAAATCAAATATATTTAATCAGACAATCAGAATCCTGAAGTATTCTGAAGTATATATATCCTGAAGTCTTGTCAATGTCCATGACCATACATTCGTGGATGAAAGTTTTATGATCGCTGCATTTGTCACCTGTGACTTTACGACCATTGCATCGGGGCGGATGATCTTGTCAATCAAGTCCATCATTCGAAAGACCTGAGGCCACTTCGTGTTCGAAGCAAGGCAAACGAATGAAGCACTTCTTTGGTAACCTTTCAATAGATTTCAATAGCAAGCACTGACAGCCGACAGTTGCCAAATCTCGGCTTCCACTGATGTCGATGAAAACCTTGCAAGGCTGGAAACAAGTCCAGAGGCAATGGGAGACAATGATCGCCCACATCTGTGCAGAAATGCTCATATAAATAATGTATCATAATGTAATATGAGCGTGAACATATGAGCGTGAATTTGATGTAAAGATATATATATATAGAGAGAGAGAGAGATACAAAATGTGATCACAGATATGTCTGACAAATCCAGGCCTTCGTAAATCTAGCAGGTTCCAGTGACTTTGTCAAGGCCTCAAAAACCGTGTGGGCGGGCTCTAAGCATCCTAGGCTAGGCAAAGCCATAGGCACCCTGAAGCAATGCCTGGTTGCAAAGACATACAAAGACCTCATATCAGCATGTGTGTGTATATCTATATATATAATATTGTCAGTATATACAGTATGTGTATATTATTGATGATCATCCAACTGGTACGGATTCCTTGTGATCAGTTTAGTTTGTAAATGCCTGTCACCCTGTCCATCTGCGACAGTAAAATCAGGAAACATTCTAGTTTTGACAGCACCTGCCATGGTCAGGTCCTGTGATTCATGGCTCTAAGGCCCTGACAATTGTTGATGGCATTTAGATGTCCCTTTTTTATGCTTTTTTATCTTTTCTAAAGATGTGTGCAACTTCTTATGAGTTTCAACAAGTCTGGTACGGTGCTTGCCGTGCTTGCCGTGCTACACAGATCTACACAGTCACGTTTGATCGCCATCGCCCATCGCCGCCATCGCCAGTGTCACTGAGGCAATTGCCACCAGCTTTGTGGAGTCGAACGCATCAAAGTTCTGACGAAGACAAAGTGTAGACTGAATAGCTGTAGCATCTGTAGCCATAGCGATCATGAGAAATGTATGGAAATATGTATATTGGAAAATGCCTGAAAATGCAGTACAAAAGAGTTGAGGATGCGTCTTGGTCATGTGTTGTTTTGTTTCCTTTCAGCATGGTCCTCAAATTGGATAGATGGGTAGTTCTCGCGGGCCTCGATGTGCGGTGATAGACACGCACACGTATCCAGTCTCACCCCAGGTTCCAATACTCTCTGATCTTCCATGCAAACACTCGTAACTTGACAGCAATCAAAAAAGGACGGGAAAGCATTGAATCATTGAGAGCATGAAAGTCAAAAATCCATAAACATCCCTCAGCTGAAGCGGAGAAACTGGGATTTCAACCTGCGCCACAAGCTCAGGCTGCTGATCCACCCCAACCACGCGACCAGCCACACCTGCTATCACCTGCCGAATGCAACTACATAGCGTTCAGATGTGTACAACAGGAAATGACAGGAATGCAACTCCAAGAATCAGTAAAAATAAGAGATATATATATACATTATATATTATATACTATATATTATATATTATCTATCATATATTATACATTATATATCATATATCATATATCATATATTATATTATATTATATATATATATTATATTATATATTATATATTATATTACATATTATATATTATATAATATGTTATATTATATTATATTATATATTATTATATTATTATATCATTATATTGTTATATTGTATATTATATTATATTATATATTATAATATTATATATATTATGTTATATTATATATTATATATTATATATTATATATTATATATTATATATTATATATTATATATTATATTATATTATATTATATTATTATTATATAATATAGTATAATATAACGTAACATAATATAATATACTGTAAAAACATACCAAGAGGGGCCTCATACAAGGGATCGATAGGGATTGATAGAGATTGCTATTGTCTAATCATTGTCATCCTCATATTACCTCCCACTCCATTGCAACACACGGCTTTGTCGAAGTATATACTCAAATGGCCTTCGTCGTGCCACCAACATGAGATCCAACCTGAACAGAAACGAATCCTTCCCCAACTCTGGAGGATATGGATTGATCAGAATCCATGGATGTTTATTGAAAAGAATACTTCTTGCAAAAACTCTGATCGAAAGGTGAGGCACATCATCCAAAATCCTTTGAGCATGCTTTAAACATCTTCAAAATGTTGAAATAGGTTCAAAAACTTATTTTTTACCACAGAAAAGGCCTCGAGTACCACATCGTCCGATTTAACCAAAGCCCTGCAATGAAGCAAGAAGGCAAAAGGTATTCGTTCAGACATTCGCGTTGAATCGAGTGAAATGAAAATACGACTTCTGCATGACATGCAAGTCTTGACACGTTACAATGTTTCTTCCTGCAGCACTGAAAATGCTGGACAGCATTTAGTCCAAGACCACTTCAAATAGTTTCAAATCGCACGCTACACGCGCTACAGCTGTTGACACGACTCGCATGACGTGGATGGGAGATGATGGAAGAATTCAAACGTTGAATCGATGTGATAAATCGCCGGAGCCACAAAACCGCATCCCGGTACTCCGAAACCTCCTCACAAGCAACCACCTTCGGCCACATAATTTCGGGCATGCTGAGATTGATTATTTTGATTCCAAATGATTCCTTAAACAAATCAAGCCTGAGTTAAACTATGAACTGATTGTAATGCGTCTCGACTTCATTTCTATCGTTTCTTTTCTGTTCAAAGCTATCGGGTACAAATCACGCAAGGACTATGACATGACTGGACCATGGCAGTCCGCGAAATCCACAAACCGCACAAACTTCACTCATCCCGACTCATCCCCTTTTGTGACCGCAGAGAATGAGATCAGTCGCACTTCGTCCATCTTCGTCCAAGCGCCAGCTTCGCATAGCTTCACTATTCTTTCAGACCTTTCAGTATTCTCTGTCAGTGCTCTTGTGAGTCACAAGTTGTCACTCTTGCGCTCTTTCAGTCGCTTCCTCTCGCTGTCGCCTCCGCTGGGATTCCGCTCTCAGCAACAAGTGTTGCATGAATGCATTGAAATAATTTGAAAGATATTGAAATCTTCTCAAATGGACGGCGCAATGTCTGAATACTGGAGACCATCTTCAGCGAAGCCATGATCAGTTTTAGTCCAGGGAAGACTGCTAGTCACCATCATCCAGCTACATCCAGTTACTCTGCGTGTGTGCTTCGTGTTGCTTTTCTTTGATTCATTTTGCTTCAGTTTGCTGAGTGGTCTTACTAGAATCTGGGAGAAGCATCGCTCAATGGAGTTCCAAGGTTAGCTGAAAGCTTTGCTCAATACTTTCCACAGTAGATCCCCTCAAATCTCCAGCTCGAAGCTCTACCTTCGGTTGCCAGTCTGCATGGCCATGGGGCCATGGGGCCATGGGGCCATGGGGCCATGGGCCTTGAAGATAAGATGTCTGCATTCTCTGCAAGATTTCCGCAAGGAACTCTGCTGACCAGCTCTTTGAATCTTTTGATCAAATGTACAACTTAGTAACTTAGTACAACCAAGGGATCATAAGCCAAGGCACGTCTCGAATGTATGCTGGCCACTCTTCCTTGTACTTTTGGTCCAAGTAGAACTCGATTTCTCTCACACTGACTGAACACATGCCAAGTGCCATGACCCCTGGCACCCAAAGTGTCCAGAGTGCTCCTGTAGTGAAAGAGAATCCCACAAACGAAATAATCTCTCCCGTGTAGTTGATGTGCCGAGCAAACGCAAAAAAACCACCTGTGTACAGCCTGCCGGCATTGCCAGCCCTTTTCCATCGGTGGCGCTGCCACTCTGGGTACAAATTTAGCCAAGTTCCAAAGAGAAAGACAAGAATTCCAGCCATCTCAAGCATTAGTTTGGAATGAGTGTTTGAATAGTTGGAACCTCCAGAGGCTCCCAGAGCCATAGAACCAACTGAAAGAGGAATCACCCCACCGGCTTCGAAGATCACTTCTTTCCAGGGAATTCCACGCGACCAAAACACAGACATTTGGAATAAGACCCGCAGCACAAAGATCGCAGTGCAGAACAGGACGCAAAGGCATCGAAATCTGCATGTGCTGCTTTGGTCGCTTTGGCTTTGGTCCATCTTGTCACACTTGCAAAGTAGAAATGCCAAAGGCAGATTCCCCACGAGCAAAGCAGCCTGCCCAAGAGAGAGTAGAAAGTGGTAAGGAGTGGTAGAAAGTGTTTGGTACTGTTACCTGTATGTTATTGGTATACTGTTGACATGCTGTCAGTACGCTGTTAGTACACTCTTTGTATGAGTGTGTGCGTGAAGGATGAGCACGTGCTGGCTGCAGTTCGAGGCACCTTCACCCACCAAGAAAGGTTAAACCTGACCACATCGAGAGTTTGTCCGGTAGATAGACAGTAAGAAATCTCATCGTATATTTATTCTGCACGTGAGATTGAATTCACTGCATGGAAGGCCAAGTCAGTTCGTGTTGAGAACTCACATCAGCCACATCAGCTATGTTCCGGGCCGGTCGGGGAGGAGCCTCACACAACAAACTCTTTGCTCGGAAGCTACATTAAGCAAGCAGTACTGGTAGCATCTGGTAGCACTACATTGTCCCAGCACGTCCCAGCAACAACCCAGGAAGTTCACTTCTGTCCCTTGAGCCTGGAATGTGTGTCGATGAAGAAGGCAGTCCGAAAACCATCAACCTGCTGAAAGTTTCAAGCGCAACGTAAGGTTTGTTTCGTGAGTCTTGTGATTGTTCTGAAGGGAGGTGAACTCACCGTAGTATGTTGTCCTCATGACATAGACTCCGCAATTGCAGCAACAGAAGGCTTGGAAAGGACAGTTCTGGACGAAATAAAAAGTATGAACAGATACAAACAGATATGAACGTATATGAAAAGATATGAACAAATATGAACAGATATCAACAGATATCAACAGATATGAACAGATATCAACAGATATCAACAGATATCAACAAATATCAACAGATATGAAAAGATCTGAACAGATATGAACAGGATATCAACAGATATCAACAGATATCAACAGATATCAACAGATATCAACAGATATCAACAGATATGAAAAGATATCAACAGATATCAACAGATACCAACAGATATCAACAGATATCAACAGATATCAACAAATATCAACAGATATGAAAAGATCTGAACAGATATGAACAGGATATCAACAGATATCAACAGATATCAACAGATATGAAAAGATATGAACAGATATGAACAGATATCAACAGATATCAACAGATATCAACAGATATCAACAGATATCAACAGATATCAACAGATATGAACAGATATCAACAGATATGAACAGATATCAACAGATATCAACAGATATCAACAGATATCAATAGATATCAACAGATATGAACAGATATGAACAGATATCAACAGATATCAACAGATATGAACAGATATCAACAGATATCAACAGATATCAACAGAAATCAACAGATATCAACAGATATCAACAGATATGAAAAGATATCAACAGATATCAACAGATATCAACAGATATCAACAGATATGAAAAGATATCAACAGATATCAACAGATACCAACAGATATCAACAGATATCAACAGATATCAACAGATATCAACAAATATCAACAGATATGAAAAGATCTGAACAGATATGAACAGGATATCAACAGATATCAACAGATATCAACAGATATGAAAAGATATGAACAGATATGAACAGATATCAACAGATATGAAAAGATATGAACAGATATGAACAGATATCAACAGATATCAATAGATATCAACAGATATCAACAGATATCAACAGATATCAACAGATATCAACAGATATCAACAGATATCAACAGATATCAACAGATATCAACAGATATCAACAGATATCAACAGATATCAACAAATATCAACAGATATCAACAGATATCAACAGATATCAACAGATATCAACAGATATCAACAGATATCAACAGATATCAACAGATATCAACAGATGTCAACAGATATCAACAGATATCAACAGATATCAACAGATATCAACAGATATCAACAGATATCAACAGATATCAACAGATATCAACAGATATCAACAGATATCAAAAGATATATCAACAGATATCAACAGATATCAACAGATATCAACAGATATCAACAGATATCAACAGATATCAACAGAAATCAACAGATATCAACAAATATCAACAGATATCAACAGATATCAACAGATATCAACAGATATCAACAGATATCAACAGATATCAACAGATATCAACAGATATCAACAGATGTCAACAGATATCAACAGATATCAACAGATATCAACAGATATCAACAGATATCAACAGATATCAACAGATATCAACAGATATCAACAGATATCAACAGGATATCAACATACAGATATCAACAGATATCAACAGATACAGATATCAACAGATATCAACAGATATCAACAGATATCAACAGATATCAACAGATATCAACAGATATCAACAGATATCAACAGATATCAACAGATCAACAGATATCAACAGATATCAACAGATATCAACAGATATCAACAGATATCAACAGATATCAACAGATATCAACAGATATCAACAGATATCAACAGATATCAACAGATATCAACAGATATCAACAGATATCAACAGATATCAACAGATATCAACAGATATCAACAGATATCAACAGATATCAACAGATATCAACAGATATCAACAGATATCAACAGATATCAACAGATATCAACAGATATCAACAGATATCAACAGATATCAAAAGATATATCAACAGATATCAACAGATATCAACAGATATCAACAGATATCAACAGATATCAACAGATATCAACAGACATGAACAGACATGAACAGATATCAACAGATATCAACAGATATCAACAGATATCAACAGATATCAACAGGTATGAACAGATATGAACAGACATGAACAGATATCAACAGATATCAATAGATATCAACAGATATCAACAGATATCAACAGATATCAACAGATATCAACAGATATGAAAAGATATCAACAGATATCAACAGATATCAACAGACATGAACAGACATGAACAGATATCGACAGATATCAACAGATATCAACAGAGATGAACAGATATCAACAGATATCAACTGATATCAACAGATATCAACAGATATCAACAGAAATCAACAGATATCAACAGATATCAACAGATATGAAAAGATATCAACAGATATCAACAGATACCAACAGATATCAACAGATATCAACAGATATCAACAAATATCAACAGATATGAAAAGATATGAACAGATATGAACAGGATATCAACAGATATCAACAGATATCAACAGATATGAACAGATATCAACAGATATGAAAAGATATGAAAAGTGTTTGTAAAAGATGTCACAGAGTCCAAGAGTCCAATCCCTTTGAGGCCTTTGTGCTGGCCATGGGTCAGAAGGGCACTGGAAAGTTGAGATCGCAGCTACCCAGCTACCTTCTTAAGGAGTTGTCCACGCTCATCAAGGCATCTATGTACATACAATTATGCAATTGCAATCAATTACATACATATGATATATGCATCATTCTGTATCGCATTGTGGATTTTGTCCGAATCAGTGACTCTGGAAAGAGCTTCAGAAACCATCCTTTGAGATATCTAGTGCGCAGTCGAACTCCTTGCATGTGAATTGCAAATCTCTACCAGGAGTGATTCGCTTGGACCAAAGAAGCAACTTGAACCGATCTTTGCCGTTTCTAATGATGCAAGAGACCTGGCAAGACTGCTTTGGTGGCAAACCAACAAAGCAATGAGCACCTCCTTGCCACTATGACGCAGCATGTTGCGATGATGGCGATTGGAAGCTCGATGCCGTTCAATCTCCTTCGTGTTTTTTTTCAATGTGTTTCTTATCTTTTTCATGGAAACGAAGCAACTGAGCAACATTGAGCAACTGGGCAGAGACAGAAACAGCATCAAACTCGATCCAAACAGTGAAGATATTTAGAATGCTGAAAAATGCTGAAAATGTGTGCAATGCTTTCTGTGGGAACATAGAAAGCTGAGTCTCCTCGGGTGTACACTTTCCTTGAATGATGGCGCCACACTCGCAAATTATGCCCACACTCCTTGATGCATGGAAGATCATGAAAGGTTGCGCCACAAATTTGGCACGTGCCAAATAATGTGCCAAAAAATGGATTGCGTTATATTGCATTCTGCTCAGACTACAGTAGAGTCAGTAGATGTCAGTAGATGTCAGTAATCTAGAGTTTAGTAGTAGAGTCTAGTTGCTATGCGTCAAAGCCGTGGCTACGGAAAAGCTGGGCTCCAATAGCCACTACACTCTGTCACTGCGTCCAAGACCAAACATCGTATGTGATTGGTATTCGGATTGGAAAGGCCCTGGCTTTGAATGAATATATACAAGTAACATCTTGTTTGCAGGATGAGCATGCAAATCATGCAACATCTGAACGCTTCTTTTTCTTCACAACACTTGGGCCTGGATGTTTCACCACTTCCTTTGCCATTAGCCTGATGCTTTTCTCGATGAAGTCGCCGTCTTACCTTGGGATGCAAACCATCGAAGCGAATGGAGTGGATAGCAATTGTGAAAGCCGTGTTTTGCCTTTGTGTCGTTTGTTTTGCATTGTTTTGCCATGTTTGTCGCGTTTCTTTGGACTTGTTATGACTTGTTCATTTTGTTCCGGTTCTACATTGGACCAACTTTGAATGGGTCAGGTAACGTGTCAAAAGTGAACGAACAGCCTCACGAAAGTAAGAGGACTCGCATGACTTGAGATAGTGCGTGCACATCGTGCACTGCGTTTACCTCAAGTAGTGCTCTAAGTGCTTCACCCGCGGAGACAGGCGCACCCAGGCTATCTGAAAACCAGCAAAAAACCTCTGCATTGGTGGACAAACAGCTGAAAACCCAAGAGTTACTCCATCTGTTGGTGCCAAGTAGACAGTGAGATAGCGAGATCATAGTTGTAGGAAGTCTTGTTTCAAAGCTTCCAGAATTGTCCAGAATCATTCCCTGACTTGAAACCTGTGTCCTAAATCTTCCAGACTTTCCGTGCCAACTTGATCTAGAAACTGTCACAACAGCCACCTTGAGTGGGACTTTGAATTGAAATGAATTGAACCTGTTGAACCTTTTGGATTCCTTGGAACCTTCACTGTACCTAGAACCTGCTGCGACCCTTTGTCGCGCAATCCTGGTTTGGAAATCGAAGCTGAAACCTGTTGGAATCAGTCAGCAACACCCTTTTAAAAACCTTCTAGAAACTCTGGTTTGCAAGCCAAGCGAATTTGACACCTTGAAGGCAACCTTGAACTCCCACTAGCACCTTTCTGATGCCTAGGGCCTACGGTTATGGAGAATCATAGATTTTAATATAGATTTTATCTGTTTTTCACTGGCTTGGCAAACAGAGTAACGGTCATGGGGGCAGCCACAATTTAATCTGGGTGAGCAAGAGGAAAAACACTGGGAGTGCTGCCCCAGAGCGGCAGCAGTGCTCGCAATAAGGAGGGCCTGCAAAATCCGAAGAATTGGCAGCCGACAAGGCCGACAAGACCGACAAGTCACAAAGCGAAACTCAGCAGCTGTGCGCCTGTTGGCGCCTGCCTTTGATCTTACAAATTGATGAAGTTTGGTAGCACATTTAGATACATTTAGCACATCCCACAGGATAAACACCAGATGCCTTCACATCTATGGAGACCACACCACCGTCTTCCATTGCATTACTGCAATGAATATGCGTTTGACACTTGGACTTCAAATACATGGGCTATCTTTTGAGGACGTGAAGAAGACTTGATGCAGTTCAAACTCAGAAAAGGTGTTGAAGCCTTCAAATGCACCTCAAGGCCTCAAACACATGTCTATACAACAATTATCAGTTGTTCATAAGCAGATACACTTGGATCATTTTTTGATTGTGATCTGGTTGTGTAAATCGTTCATGCCAAATTTCTGCATTGCCACAAGACTAATTGTCTTAAGCTGTGGCATTGAGCCGAGCACGGCTGCCTGCCACAAGACGACTGCAGAAGACAAATGCATGACAGGAGCAGCAAAGAGAAACGACCCCAGAAATGGTATTTTACTTGGGCACCACAACTACCTGCAGAAATGTTCCTTCGAGCAAAAACATGTTTGCTGTAAAAAGGTATCTTACTTTGCCATTGACTTATTTTCCAATGATCACTTCATATATCTTTATATCATTGCATGCCTGTGACACAAACGGCCTTTTCCTCCTTCACATTGCCGTCGGGTCTGCGTGGAGGTCTGTCTGATGTCGAAGCTGAAAGCATGGCAGCGCCGTCTGCAAATGCCTTGGAATTCCATTTCCAAACCAGATGCGGAAACATCCTTAATTATAGCTTATATTATATATATTCCTTATTGAGAATTCAAAAATGATGTTAAGCGGTACCTGCGTGCTATCTGCATGTGTTCAGCGAATGGGCCACTAAGGAAATAGATGGAAATAGTGCGTTGAGATTCAAATCGCCAGCCGTGCTGCCTGCGGTTGGGACCAACATCCATCTGCAGCACATATTTCAGGAATGGTCTGAGTCAAAGCCGGCATCGGACCTGAGATTCTGCAGCAGAATTTTCCAGGAAACAAGGAATTCTGCGAAATTCGTTCCAATGAGGAGTCAATGAAAGACACTGTTTGACATGATCTTGTACCTACACAGCAGCTACCAATGGGCCTGCACCAACCAGAGGTGGCATCAGGCCAGACCTTTGCAAGGGTCAAACAGCTTTGAAGCAAGCACGGTTACAACAGGCGTCGGGTCTTAGGAATACTTAGCGCGAGAATGAAAAGGTAAGAAACTGAGACTCTACCCAAGCAGCGAGTAGGCTTTGCATCACAGGCATTGGACCGAACGTTTTTCCACAATTGACAAATTCACAGGCAATTCGAGGCAGGGTACTCTCTCATGCGGCAGCGGAGGTCGGATGCCTTGTTGTGGTGCAAGTGCCGGTATGAAGTGTGCTCACAGGTGCAGTGTGTCAAGAGATTTGTCTTGGCGTCTTGGGGTGCTTTGACTCTTCTTGTCTCTTTTCAATTCTACTTCATCTGCACGTCATCCTGAAACATCCTCAAACGCCTTCATGGTGGAATGCCAAGTTGGAGAGGCCCCGGGGCCCCACGTGCCGGTCTGCCTGCGCCTGCTCTTCTGCTAGAGCTTCTGAGACTTCAGCCAAATCCTGCATGGCAACCGATCTTCAAGGAAGTCTCCCCTAGAATAAGCAAACACTCATGATATCTTCTGGCATTCTCATCCTGCAGGGTTCGGCCCTGGCACAAGTATCTGCAAGATTCTACAAGTAAGTCCGGGAACAACAAAGGGGCATAATATTTTGCAAAGCATGGAAGATCGGCGTAAAGAGGAAGGCCTACGGCCTACAAGATTGAGAAAAAAACTTGTAAATGGTTGTGGGGGTCACTGATTGATGAGCGGGCCCGCAAGGAAAGATGACATTTGATGACAATTTGATGACAATTTGATGACAATTTGGTGACAATGTGACAATACCTGGGCATCGCTTAAGATGCAAAGAGCAACTCCAGGCACAAACTCCATGCGCTACTGCTGCGCCGCTACGCATTTCTATGCCAACATGGTCCTGGATATCAGGGCCTGCACTTATGCCAACTTCCAGATTCTTCATCTTTATTTTCTTGGAAACTTACAAGAAACATCAAAAAACATTGGACTGAAGAAACACCCCTCAGCATTTCTCGCAAATCAATGCCAATCTTCCCTTTTCCTATATGATTTGCACGGCACAGTCATTGACAAGCCCACAAATTCGCTACTTCCTTACTTGTTACTGTTAGATCTGGTGGCACAAACCTGATTGGCAAACTTGCCTATCAGCCACGCAGCCAGGCTACTGACATGTCTGAGCTACTCATCAAATCTTCCAACTCATTGAGTCAATTGTCCGTGGCATTTCTTGAGTCAATTGTCCATCGCTGATTCATGCTGATTATTTCCTATTGATCTCTGGATATCTCTGGTATCTTCTTTCAACGACGATATCCCACGTAATGCTCGACTTCAGCGGCTGACACAGGGCGACAGAACACTTGACAATGAACAAATATGAAGACATGAGTCCTCGCGAGCTTGCGCAACTTCCTGCTTGAGACAAGCGATCTCCTGGCTAGCGGAGTTGCACCTCGGCTGACTCGGCTGTTTAGAAATATGGGACTTCAATGCAGTGGGCGCATGGCTGAGTCAGAGGAGGTCGTCGAGATTGCAGTGATCTAGTACAAATCAACGTAGAGATCGTGGTTTTGTACGGTCAAAACAAATGAAAAGCGACATAGACATAGCATGACATAGCAATACATGACGTACATACCACTCTCTGCCTCTCCCATGACGCAAGTAGCCGATCTCCCCCACGAGATGCCTGTGAAAAGCTTTCACCGCAGGTCTTGAGATCTGTCATTTGTTCCACTCTTTTTGCGGCCTCCATTAAGGACTCCACCAGCTGTTCTTGAAGCCGATGTCCTCCATCTATTGGGGGTATTGAAAAAGTAAAATTGGTAAAAGACAAACAATGACAAACATGAAAGATTCTGTCAGATGTACAAACTGCAAAAGCTGTATCGCAGGACAACAACGCAGTGTTCGAGCGTCAGCAAAAAATAGTGGAAAGACATGGAAAGACTGTGGAAGGGCTGCGAGCAAAACGAGCTCCAAAAGCAATTTCGGAGAGGGGTGTTCCGCAGAAATCTCTGAGGTGCGAAATGTGCGAAAGGGAAGGGCAAGGCTATGCAAGGCTATGCAAGGCTATGCAAGGCTAGCAAGGCTGGCATTCGTAGGTGAGATGAAAGCTTGGCGAAGCAGGTGAAGGGAGATCTGGGGAGATGGCAAACATATGCAAACAGCATGCAGTGTGGAAAGAAAACCTTCCAAATATCCTGATATGTCACGATATATCAGCATGCAACTCCAAGACTCTCTTCCAACGTATCAATACACTATTGAAATGTCCGCAGGATATTGAAAAGTGAAGCAGTCAGCCAATTGCAAGCTGGACCTATTCTGCAAGGACCTTTGGTGTTCCCTTGATTTGGAGTTGTAGTTGAACTGTAGTTGAGTATGGGAAACATAGCAGGTCCAAAGCACCAATGGGTTTCATGTGCCTGCAGGGCGGTGTTTAAGCAATATTTTATACTATTACAATGGAATTCTTGAATGCAAAGCTATATTTTCTGGCCTTCTCGAATTAGCATTGAATTCTCGGCAGATACCTGCAAAGGAAACAAAAGTTCGCATATGCTGTTGCACTGTTCACTTGAACGTTTGGTAAGGGAAGCTTTGTCCCACGTGGACCTATCACATTGACCTCAGGAACTCGATTTCCTACAGAATCTGTGTGTGGTGTCATGTGACACACGTAAGTCAATTATGTAAGTCGATAGAGATCAGTAGCAATAGCATGGGCTTGGAGTTGAAACATGTTGAAACGAGTTTTGTTTGAAATAACGAGTAGCAATAGCACTGCCTCTTCCAGCTTGGTCTTCACAGGTTCTACCTTGCCCCAAACAAACGGTCAAGACAAAAGCTTCGAAGCCTCTACCGACTCTACCAGGATCTGCATTGAAGAAAAGTCTTGCAGGTTTCTCCTTCCACTCCCTGCTGCAATGCGCAATTTACGGCCATAGCATGGTCCCACAGTCCGCGTGCTGCGTGGCACGCGTAGGATGGCATTGGGAGGCCTCGTTCTTCAAATGGGCCAACTGTTCCGCAAGTGTCCGAGAAGCCTTCACAGGCAGCAAAGTATAAATTCCGTAGCTCAAGGGCAACAAATACCAACTCAGAGGCAAATGCCACAAAGCAAATCAGAACAACGACATTCCGAAAGTCGCTCCATTCTTCTGGAAAAGTGTAAAAGGTGCAGAGCCGCGGGTGCTCAAGACCGGTCCTTGCTAGCTTCTTCCTCGCTCTCCAGTAGGTTGCTTCGAACAGCAAGCACTTCTGCGTGATAGTTCTGCCAGAAAGGCTGGGAGCAGAGCCAGTCATTCCATCCAGTCAAGAGAGAAGTGCAAAGTATTGTTCTGATATGAAAGGATCTTGCCATGTTGTGGTCCCATGTACAGCTGTCCTGCGCTGCTTCTGCCATGCTTCTTTCAAAGTGAGCCTGAGTGCAGCATGTCTGTGTGAATGTACCTTGTCTCTGAACCACAGAAGAACCATTGAACTATACCGGAGGTTCTTCAAAGCTTAAGGCGCCTAAAGAGAATCTCCCAAGCGCAAGGGACAAGTATTGACTGGAAAATTTAAAGCTTGCTTGTACAGCGGATTGTCAGTTGGAATCTCGAAAAGGCAAAGATGGCAAAGCACCTATTTTTCTTCACAGGTTCAAAAAACTTGTTTCGCACCTGCCACCGAGCTCGGTCTGCAGAGAAAGTTGCATGGGCCATCAAATATTCTGCCTTGTCAATGTCGCATCTCGAAACAGAATGTAGAATGACCACTCTCAGCAAAGCACTTTGCACAATTGCTGAAAGATTCAAATTATCAGATGCTGATTCAACCTATCAAAGCAGCGGAACTAACGGCCTCCTTTTTCTGAAATTCTGAAGCTTGTCGACGCCTGTTCTTTGAGGACAGATGAGGTCGTTCGGCTTCGGCAGGCAAGAACTGGACATGCCCTGGACTGAATTTGCAGACAACTTTTTGGCTGAAGACAGCTGCGCCTTATTTGCTCTTCTTCTCGTGAATGTTGCAAAGAAGCCTCTGCCTGCCTGCATTCTGATCCTTAGGGAACTAGGATGCTTGATGGCTCTCAATCCACAGCTCATCTATCATCTATAATGAATACATATATATATATACGTATGTACATATTACCTCATTGATTTCAACAGCAATCTGATTCTCTACAGCTTTGCTTTTCCATATGTGTCGTTTTTACAGAATCTGCTCAGGGGCACTCTCAAATGATTTGGCCAAGGTCTTGACTGAGAAGAGCAGAGAATGCCTCTCAGCGCTCAATCAATCCATTCTGGCAAAAAAAGATGTCCAGGAATGGTCTGCCTCATGCTCACCTGTTGCTGTCTGGGCAGCTTGTAGACCTCACCGCGGTCAGCGTGTCAAATTCCGAACCACTTCATGAACTTGCTTTGCGCCGATTGGAGATCGCTGTTCACAGGGCCAGCTCGGCAGAGGTTCAATAAGGTACGAGGTTGTGGTACCGTTGTATCTGTTGGCAATAAACAAAAAAAAGAATTTAAACAATCCTGATTATCATGTTCAGTGAATCAACCAATCAGTGAACCTGAAACGTTGTCCAATATGAAAGAGGCCACAGCACGTCTTTCTGCATGTTCGCTGAGCGGTACTGGGATCCAAACTTGATTGGCAAGAGGCAGATGCAGCCTGTGTGTTGCAACAAGTGGCAATTGTGACAACTGCAAACGCAACAAGTGAAGCCCAGCTGTTGGCCTGTGAGAGCACAAGTTCCTGGTAGAGACAAAGACAATTGAAAGACATGGAAAAATATGAAGAGTTCTAGCAGATTCAAATGCACTCTTCATGATATTTCATGACGTTGTATGGTAAAAGCATATTTACGTGAGTGCTCACGTCTTTTTCATGTCTCTACAGAGTCTCTACAGAGTCTCTACAGAGTCTCTACTGTAATGTCCTTGTGGCAAAATGGCTGGAACTGAAGGGTCCCGCAGGGTGCTGTCCTCTTGCAGCTTGGTGGCCCGCCTCTGCAAGGCTTGCCTCAGCTTATGCCGATATAGAGCTGTCTCCAAAAGGAGACTCTGCTGCGGTTCAAGCATGAAATCTATGGCAACCTACGGCTTCCCAATACAAGTGAAGAAAATAACCACGCAACCCTTCTCAATGCGGCAAAAGAAAAGTTTGGCACCCTGGAAATAAGATTCAAGTAAGTCTGGCGCTCGGAGTTTGCCAGTCTCATCTCCTCCCTATGCAGCAACCGGACAGCCTTCATGAGTTTCAGAGTCAGGTTTCGTTGTTCAAGCCGATTTTCGAAGCCGAAGAAACATCAAGTAATCAAGTATACTTAATTTCATTCGCATCATTTCGCATACCTGGCTACTTCAATCATGGGATCCAAGCCATCCAAATGGCAAATGGAATCGTCCAATGGATTGCCTCAAGAATGCCTCAAGCCTTAAGCTCTGCAGAGGAATTCTGCGGATTTACAGCCATTACAATCAGGAATGGCTTGAAAATGCAGGAAGAATTAATTACAGCTAATTACAGACTTTCTTGTTTGAAATGTTCGAATTCTTCTTTCAGAATCTTTCAGAAATGGTCAGAGCTTTCCAATGCAACTCGCCTCGATCTCCTGGCACAACTCCTGTTGAAGTTGACCAGCAAGACTCGCCTGCGCCTGGAGAAACCAGGCCTTGAAAGATCTTGATATGTTTCTAATCTGTGTCCAATATGTTCTAATTATATTATATATATATATTTGATGATTCAACTAAAAGACTCTAAAAGAAGAATTACCAGCTGACCGTGTTGCTGTTTTCTTGAGAACAATGAAAAGATCTGCTGTCAGACGCTTTGAGAAAGGATTTGACTTGCCACTTCGGATGCTTAGGCAGGAGCTGCCAATTCTCGCGCTGGGGCGTGTCGTCTCACCTCCTGTCAGGCGAGAGACATATGAAAACTATTCTGCAAATTATGCATACATGTGCGTCTACTTTACAATTTAAGATGTTAAATCATTTCAAACATGAATACAATTTATGCATATTGTATCTACACTGTACTTGTTGCTGGCTCTTTCATGTTCCATCATCACTTTTCCCCTGTAAATTCATTCAACGCTTGGGGGTCTTGTCATGCGCAGCGAGATGCAACCAGACCTCCAAAAACATCAACGAGGAAGCTTGAGCAAGGGCTTTTGCCTCAGGCCAGGTGAAAAGCGAACATGTTCAAAAACCAAAAGTTCTGCGGCGCATCAACCAAAGACAACGTCCCCTAGTGCCTCTGTTTCTGCATCCGCAAGAAGTTTTCTCTCCCTTAGCATTGCTACCCACATCCAAAGAAAGTTCATGCCATGGGCTGGCTGGCTCTTAGTATTTTTTATGTATCTTTTATATAGCCCGCTTTAAAATGGTCGGCATCAAAACAAGCGCCTATCGTCCATCCACCCATCCATTCATCTTGCATCCTGGAATTCCATAAAGCCCCGCTAGTTTGCACCAGACACTTTTTCCACTGTGCCATATCATTCCAAACTATCTATTCTGAGTCATTGGAGTCAAAAATGCCGGCGGATGTGTACCGTACCCTTGATTTGAAGGTTTTCAAAGCTGACGTCATTCTAGTCTGTGGAAATCCAGGCAACATCTTACTCTGACGCCTTTTGTCTTGCTGTGCCACTACGTAGCATCAAGTACGTGCACATGTGCAAGTGAAGGTTCTGAGCCCAGCCCACCCCACCTCAACCCCCCTCCCCAAGAAAAACAAAAATGCTGGTATAGGCTGGTACGGTTTTCCATCCGCTACAAGTAGATCAAACATGAGATTACTTGCCTCTCTGTAGAGAAGGTTGATGGTTCAAATAACGCCGACGACATCTGCAGTTCTGAGTCCTCGAGCGCAGTGATTTCTTTTACCTGCACGGAACGACATGTGCGCTTCTCTGCCCCTATTTAATTACAACCTCCGGCGATGATACATGAAAATAGTGCACATCCCAAACTCCAAGGTGCTTTGCGAACCAAAATACCGAAATGCCACAGTTTGCAGTTGAGGAGGGCCGAGAATTCTTTTTGATATCATGCTGAGCTGCGCACAGTTGGCACTAGAACCGGTCAAACCTATACTGCTTGAGCCACCTTCATTCAGGTAGATTAATGCCTTTTGTGTTTGTCAATCGTAGCTTGCAGAACCGTTTGCCTGTGTTTGTTTAAGATAAGTTTGTAATACGATTGACAGAACTGATTACAATTTACCTGAAGGTCTACATGCCACTGCATCCATCTGCATAGCAGATTTGAATCTCTACTTATCTCTACTTATCTCTACTTATCTCTACATACTTCTCTCTACTTATCTCTACTTATCTCTACTTATCTCTACTTAAGTCACTGGACCACCGCCTTGCAATTCTTGTTCTCCGAACACGAAGACTGATCCTGCAAGTTTGAGCACTGATTTTGGAAGATTCTCGCGTATTCTCACGTATTTCAAGTCGCTATGGCTGCTTTCAGGTTGCCACTGCGAAAAATAAGGCTCCGGCAAGGTGTCTCTTCAACAAAGCCTCGAATTGCATTCAGCAAAACGCTCTCACACATACACTATTTCCAAGCAGAAAACAAGGGCATGTACGGTGATGCTGTCTTTCATGATCAACCCCAGCTACTTAAACGTCTCACTTTTGAGCGGATGTGCCAAGCCGCGAAAAGGCACCCAGCGCAGGCACCACAACCAGCACCCACCACCAACGCGCACAACCAGCACTCACAACCAACACAAATTCACTTTCAATTCCTTCTTATCAACTAATAATTCTATATATATATAGTTCTATGTTCTCAATTGGTGCAAAACAAAATCAAAAGTGCACTCTTCCAAGTGTGTTCTGCTTCGCTAAGATGAAGAGGTCCCCCAACGGACAGCATGAAACCATCATCACCGCAAACTCAACGTGATTCAGCCCTTCAACACTTTGGGACGGAACACTAAAATTTGACAGCCTATCCTTACTAGAAGAACCTGTGCGAACTTTAGCCAGCATCTCGAGCATTAGCATAGACACGCACGCGTGGACAAGCGCGAACACACTATACACCGCACTAGCTGTGCAGTTTCTCTAGTGAGTGCAAGGTCTCAACTTGAATCAGTTCCAACGAAATCAGCTGAAAATTGATTGCACTGCTTACACAATTGAGCTCAGACACATTTCGCCGTTTTTCGTTCTCGAGGTTTCGCTCCAATTCCCACACGCGGTGCCTTGCAGAGAAGATCCCTCTCAACTTCCAACTCTTCCAACCCTTCCAACCCTCCCAACTTCACATCTTGTGGGCTGTGCATGGCTGTGCTTCCCAACTTCCTGTAATGCGTTACTCATGACAGCAAGGATGTTTCCGAGGAACAGCGAGGAAATGCATGCACACTTGAAGCATCTTGAAGCTATGATTGTCACATATTGTCACTATGATCACCAGAATTCATTAGATAGGCGTTGTTTTTGTGTTTTTTTTTCGACTTACAAAATCTCAGTTTCAAATCTGAAAGCTGGGACGGCTGGGACGTGTCGTGTCTGTTTGCTTCACCTCAGGGCATGGATCTCAGTTGCTCCGGCCATCCCAACCGTCACCTTGCGTCCTCAAGTTGGGCCGTCAGAAGGATCAGAAGGGCTTTGTAAAGACGCAGATATGGACAAACCATGACAAACCATGACAAGCCCCAATGTTCCGCCTGCAGATTGTACTCTAATGACTCGAACGATGTGCTTGCCATGTGTCAAGTTAGTGCCCAGCCTGCAGAACTTGGGGTTGAGCTTGCAGTTCGCCTGTTGAAAGAGGTCGCTGTCAGGTAAGACGGCAAGATATCGATGGCATCTGAGAATATGACCGTGGAGTCTGGAAGTCTGAGGGAAGGGGTGGTTTTTGCGCTCTTGACGTCCGGAATGCATCGTGATCGTGGAAGGTGTTGCTGATATTGCGCAATCCTTCTCTGTTCCTTGGAGCAAGGTTGCCTCCAGAAGGTAAGGGGTACAGTACCCATGGGCAACTAAGAACGAAACATTCCGAAACATGTATGTATATATATACATATATATATATATATACGTGCCCAAAACAAAGTTTAAGACGTGCAGCAAAGAAATGTTGGAGCAGCCTAGGACCCGGGCATTGGCGACTCCTTGAACCCCTGTGCCTGCACAGTTTCACCATGGAAATCCTGGAAGGCTTCTTGACTCTCGTAAAGTAATCGATCTCTGCGGCCATACTCGTTTGAAGTAATCTGTTCCTAAAATATGGTTTAAATATATACAGTATATATATATATACTACGTACATTAATTTAAAGTGTTTGATTTGTGTTGGCGGCTTGTGGGCTTATCTTAGAAATCTTAAATCTTGAAAAAAATGCAGCATGTAATGCAAAAAAAATGGATCTTAAAAATGCAAACAAAAGCAACTGCAGAAAGAAAATGCAAAAAAAAATAGAAATCAAAAACACAATGCAAAACAAATAGAAATCAAAGAAAAGATATACTTGTCGCCTCCTTCCAACTTGCATTGGTTCCTTCCATGTATTCTTCATTTGTCAAATGTGCCCCCTTCCAAGTTGCATTTGCTCTTTCTATTGTTCCTCCATTTGCAATTTTTGTCTCTTTTCAACTTGCGTTTTGCTTTCCCATCTTTTCTGCAATTGTCATGTGTGCCTCTTTCAGATTTGCATTTTCCAATTCCATTTTTGTTGGCATTGTTTCTCTATTTTTTTCAAGATGTAAACATCCTAGAACAAGCGCAATTCGACAGCACAATATTTGATCTGTCTGTTTGCACATCTCCGTATTCTATTTATACGTAATAATGTATCGAAGAATATCAGGGGCAAAAGAACTGGTGGCTTGTGACAATTCAGCCTTTCATGACGATTTGCTTTCGGCTTGGGGCTTTGATTGATGTCGCGCTCTGCTGAAGTTCTTTCAAGACGTACTGATCTGAATGTGGAATATGTTTGCTGCATCCGCTTATACAAGGGCTGGATGCAGTCTGCAGAAGCAATTCGGACATGTGGTTCAACTTACCAAAAGATTTGACACAAAGAATGCTTTTGAAATGTTCAAACTCGTGAAACTGCCTCAATCCATTCCAGGTCATGGGATAGTCTTGGGGGATGCTCTGTCATCTTGGCAAGGTGGGCCTCCGGTTTTCAGCCAAGAGGCAGGGGCCATTCTAAGTTGAAACCAACTTGTCCCTGCTTGAACCCAATACTTTTGATAACTTGACAACACGTGACAACAGCCAAATAATCAAGTCATATATCGTGAATCGAGATTCATCACATGCCAGTACAAGAGCTTCAAATGAGGAAAGAAGAGTCCAGGGTGCACTGCATCATCTTGGGGAAGGTGAGAAAGAACAGTGCAATTGGGGTTTTAATGAGGTGGTCCAGGCAAGAAACAACAGGTGTCAGTTGTTGGCTAGAGAGTTGGCTGGAAACAGCCATCATTGCATTCCCCGCGAAGGACATCTGTGCACAACAATTTTGAAACTCACGGCGCATAGTCGAAGACACAAGTGTATACGTACAGCAAACATGGTGGGTCCATGTTCACATTACACTCCTTATAATATGTATGAATCAGCATGAAACGTAGGAATGAGATGGAATGAGTAGGATGTAGCATCTGTTTTAAATTTTCATCTCCACTTTCCACAACATAAAAGCCTCTCTGATGTCTTGTTAGGTTCATTCTTCGCATATTTTGCCAGTCCCACAGTCCTTGCGTTTCCCAGCCAGCCGCTTCCACTTTTGCAAGGGTGATCTGTGTGTGTGTGTTTGTCGTGGTCTCTCAAACAGGCTGCATGTTCATGTTTTGAGTTGGGCCATTTCTCGATAGCAGGTATAGTTTCGGTATAGTATGGTTTGCTGCCGACGAACCGTGATGTATGCTTGTGATCGTTGCTTTGCTGCCAATCCCGGCTGCTGAACAAACATAGCAACCTGTTATATATATACATATATATAGTAATATTATAGATAGTAACATAGTAATATAGTAATGTAGCAATATAGTAATATAGTAATATGGTAGTATGGTAATATGGCAACATAGTAATTATTACTAATTAGTAATCTAGTAGTATAATAGTACAGTATAGTAGTATAGTAGTATAGAAGTAGTGTGTGTGTGTGTCTTCGGCTCCAGTCCAGTGCTTTCGGTTCTTCTTCTCTGTTTTCCTCGGTCCGCTTTCCCTGCCTGGGCACTTTCTGCATCCCGCAGATGAGATCTGAGTGTTGCATTCTGGCCTGCACGATGAAACAATTTTCATGTGAAGGTGTGCTTGTCCAAGACCATTCCAAGACATTGAATGATTCACATCAGACGTACTCTCCAGTTTCCAACCTGATAGTCGTTCCAAAAGCAAGGCTGTGTCTTTGTGGCGAGCCTGATCTTGTTCCATGTCCATGTTTGAATTATGATCAAGCTTGGGCCAGGCCAACAAAGGACATCTGCTGTTCACTATTTCTGGTGGTGCTTGAAAAGAAAAACAAGTTTGATGTACCAACTGTATCTTTGATCCAGTCACGTTTTGCTGAATCATTGATCAACGTGTTTCCCAGAACAGGGTCAACGATGGTCAACGTGTGTAACTCATCATCTTGCAACATCCGGCAACTGACTGGAGCCTGTGAATCTGCAAGTCCAGCTCGTAAGTGGCTCAACTCCTGACTCAGGGCGAGGCGAGCACACCAGTTGAACTTCTGCAGGAAGTTTTGCTCAAAGCTCTATGTCGATGCATTCACGTAATGAAGCATTTCATCAATGGATGGTTGAAAGGGAAGGTTCTGGGCGATTCACATGAGACTTAAGACCCAGTAAGCTGTTTCCACAACAGCCAACAAATACCTCAAACAATCTCAAACCCACTTCACAGCTGAGGTTCCTGTCGTGCTTGTACAGGATTGAGATCGAGCATTTGCGTCGCCGCAAAACCACCGTCTTCAAGGCCACGTTCATGCGACTCATGCATCACCGAATTGGTTGTGAATTGTTGGTTGCATCACAATGCAGTCTACAGAGTCTACTGTCTGAGTTTTGACTGCGTGTTTGTAGTTACTTGTGTGTGTGTGTCTGTCTCTACTGTCTACTCACTATGCACATTTTAGCATACCCGTCAATGCCAGGGCGGAAGCATCGAAACAATAGAGTGCGATGGGGAATAGGAGCCTGTGAGAAAAGAGTTGGACACATATGTATATGTATGTATATACAATAGATAAATATTAATATATATATAATTATATATAGATGATGATGAAAGATTCTGAAAGATCTTAATGACTGACAGACCGACTGACTGAACGCTTGAGCGAATTAGCTTTTGACTGAATGAGTGGATGAAACAATGGGTGCCGGCACCAACTGCAAAAACAAGCAAACAAGCGATCCAATGAGCCACCAACAACACACCAACGAAACAAGGAACAAACAAAGGGTGACTTCCTGTATGGTTGGCAGACTGATTTGCTCTTTGAGCTACCTATTTTCTATTGTTTCTGAGCCGCCTATTCTCCGAGCTGTCTCCCTTCTGGGCCGCGGGAAGACTGGAGTAGACTAGAGTCGAGAAGACTAGAGAGAAGAATGCTCAACTGACTCGAAAGCAAAGAGAGCAAACAGGGATCGGGATGAGAGAAAAGAGCGCTCGAATGCAAAAAGGATCAAGCATAAAGAGGGATCATGAGCGGGACGGGGCGCTAGAAAGATCAAATAAATATGCACATTATATGTTTTTTTCTTTTGCTCTATAGGCCCATACCTCCTGAAACTCCGTTCCGACTCGCCCGAGCACTACTTGTATAGTACCTTCCAACAACATTTTTGTTCATCCAAGTCCAGCAATTTTGAAAAAACACGATGCCGTTGAAAATCATGGAAAGTCAACGACGCCTCGCAGACTCTGGGATTTTGTGGGATGCATGGTAGGTAGATTTCTCCTTTGGTTGCACTGGCGTGTCTCCCGTTAAAACAGCCTCGGATTCAAAGATTGCAAAAGTATGAGGAAGAACAAATACGTCACTGGAAATAAGAAAACTCTTGCCTGCATGTTCAAGTTTACACTGACTGATATGACTGTTACAAAAGGACGTAGGCTGTCTTGAGCTGGATGCATTCAAGTTCAACACTGCACAGCCAAGATGGGGACCAAAATGACTCAACTCTACAGTAAATGGAAACATTGACATGGAAGCCTTGCATCGCACAAGGGCAGTCCGCGCTCTTGTACAGGGGTGTCAACAGTGGAACTTCGTCCTAAAATAAGGAACCGAACGCACGAAGACATTCTCTTTCAGTTTTGCACACATGGCCTCGTGCTTTCGGAAATCTTTGACCATTTACTGGTTCTCGAGCCAGCGGAAGACAAAGTCACTTCTCTACTTTTACAAATTCATGCTTCGGTGAAGCTTTCCAGCAAAATAATTGGAGGTGCTTGTTGCACCCTGGGAAAGGATTACGTGAAACAAAATCAGCAAGCCATCTTAGCAATGGTCTTCTCAAAGCTCCTGGCGTCGAGGGAAGCAAGTGTTTGAAGAGTTATAGATCTATAATATATATATATTATAGTATAGTATATTATGATTATTTATGTATATTATAACTATTTATGTTTATTATATTATATTACTGTATATTGTATTACATTACATTATATTGTATTATACATTGCATTATACATTGTGTTACAATGTATTATACATTGTATTATATTGTATTATACATTGTATTATAATGTATTATACATTGTATTACAATGTATTTTACATTGTATTATAATGATTATACATTGTATTATAATGTATTATACATTGTATTATAATGTACTTTACATTGTATTATAATGTATTATAATGTATTATAATGTAGTATAATGTATTATAATGTATTATAATGTATTATACATTGTATTATAATGTACTTTACATTGTATTATAATGTATTTTACATTGTATTATAATGTATTATAATGTATCATAATGTATTATAATGTATCATAATGTATTATCATGTATTATCATGTATTATCATGCATTATCATGTATTATCATGTATTATCATGTATTGTCATGTATTATAATATATTATAATGTATCAAAATGTATTATAATGTATTATAATGTATTATAATGTATTATAATGTATTATAATGTATTATAACGTATTATAACGTATTGTAATGTATTATAATGTATTATAATGTATTGTCTTATATTATATTGTATTATATCATATTAAATCATATTGTATATTATAGTATTTTATATTATATTTATATTTATATCTATATCTATATTTATATTTATATTTATATCTATATTATATTATATGTTATTCTATTATATTATATTATATTACATTACATTATGATATTATATTATGTATATAACATAACTATATTAGGTTAGATTATAGTGAGTGATAATATATTATATTATATTGTATTATATTATATTGTATTATATTGTATTACTATTATATTATATTGCTTTATATTATATATATTACATTATATTATATTATATCATATTATATTATATTACGTTAACATATTATATGTTATTTTATTTTATAGATCATATAATATTGTATTTTATATATTATATTAGTTTGTATATTATTTTATATATTATATTATATTACATATAATATGATATAATGGAATATCATATTACATATAATATGATATAATATAATATAATACATCGTAATACATTATACTATAATGTTAATAGAATATAATGTAATATAATACAATGATATACAATATAATACGTCATAATACATTATAATTTAATGTATAATATAATATAATACAATATAATGTAATATAATACATTATACTTTAATTTAATTTAATATGAGTTAAGTTAGTATAATTTAATTTAATATAATATAATATAATATAATGTAATATAATAAAATATTGTAATATGATATTGTATATATACTAGTTATTATGATATAATAGTGATTAGGCAGATAGGTTAGTTTAAAATATGTTTAACCTGTCTGCCCTGCAAGTGCAGCTTTAAAACAAGCCGTGTAGCCTTGACCCACAGAGTGCCATCATCCCACTGGATCCCGAGATCATCGTCAGACCAAAAGCCCTGGCTGGAAGATGATTGGAAGATGGCAAGGATAGGATGGCAAGATGGCATGTCTCATACAAGGAAAAATAAAATAAAAAATAGGAAAGGGAAATGACACACTTCTAATTGAGGACAAACGTAGTCCGTAACCAGTCTCTTGAAGACTCAATACCTCACTAGCATTCGCTATAGCTCAGTCCTGTACCTGCATGCACCTGCTCACCGGACAAATCAAGGATTTTTCAGAAAAGCTGGCCTGCATAAAAGAAATTCCCATCCAACAATTCCTGCAGACAACCTTGGCAGTCAGAGTATGAAAAGCCTTTCTTGGAATTGCTTCCATGAAAGAGAATCAGATCAAAAAATTGTCGATATGGAAGTAAGACAGCTCGCCTAAGCGGCGGAGGAAACGCTTTGAACGGCCCAAATTAGAAGCTATCAAAACTTGTCGCTCAGAATCATAGTTTGAATTTAGGTGACAGGACTTGACATGACTCAAAAGAGGTCCCCGGGCCCCTTGTCCGCTGTGATTGTCTTGCATGCCAAACAGCGGTGCTGCCAGAGAAAGCCAGAAAGACTGGGCCGTAGGGTAGGTCGGTGACGTTGTCGCAGAACTTGCCAGCTGCTGGCATCGTTCCAGTGAGGGAACCAGATGGACCGAGAGAGACACCTATCACTTGCGTGCATTTGGAGGCATCTTTGTACCGTCCTTGAAATATGATTGGTTCGACACACAAATTTGGCGCCGTGGGAGACAGGAGCCGATTGTTTCGCCAGAGCTGTTCCAAAAAGCAACTGGATGTCTTTCTTCTGCGCAACTGCTGACCAGGAGTGGGGACATGAGTGTTGGGGGTTGGGGCGTTGGGATCCAAGCCAAGTTCGTAGTCAACAAAGGTGATACCAAAGCGCTCAACATATCCCATCTCCCACTCATAGTTGTCCAACAATGACCATCCGAAATACCCACGGACGTCCACTCCATCTTCTTCAATTGCACGCCTGACCTCAGAAGTGTAGTTTGCAAAATAGTGAACTCTATCTGTATCATTCGCTGCCTGTTCTGCTGTTGATGCTGCGGTGGACCAACCATTTTCAGTCACGTAAATCACTGGATTGTTGTATCGCCTCTTCACCCAATTCAACAATTTCCGCAAACCCCACCCAGCTCCATATAGCCAAACAGACTGACCATGAACAAGGCCTTCATGGCTAACTGTAGCATAGGTGTAGTCCCATTGAGGATCCTTTGACGCCGAGACCCAGCCTGTGCCATAATTGTTCAAACCAAAAAAATCGGCGCTTCCTTTTAGAAGGCGCTTTTCCTCGTCCGTAAAGCTAGGCAGAACATCCCCAAGAATAGCTCTCATTTCAGTGGGATAATCACCATTGCCAAAAATGGGCTCGCTGAACCAACCTAGTTGAAAAAGTACGGCCCGTTCGGCTGCCGCTATGTCCTCTTCAGTGTCTGTTTTTGGTTCGCGCCAATCAAGGTTATTCGTGATTCCCACCATGCCTTTCTGCTTATGCTGATATTTGCGACGGTAAATGTCCACAGCTGCTGCGTGAGCATTCAGAATGTTGTGACCAGCAATGTACGGATCTTTCAAGGGGTCCATGAAGGGCTTAATACTCGGAGCTTTGCCGCTGCCACTGGCAAGTTTCGTTGCGGACCATGCTTCATTGAATGTGATCCAGAATTTAACCCTGTCTCCAAAAAGTCGAAAACAAGTGTCCACATAATGCTGCCAATTTGGTAGAATCTCGGCCACGGGCTTTCCATCAGCATCACGTGCCCACCAAGCGCTGCGTTCAGGTGGACTGAAGAGTGCTTGAGGGAGGTCCCAATGATAAAGCGTTACAAAGGGAGTGATGTTGGCTGCGCGAAGTTCATCAAGAAAGTCACTGTACCATTTCACGGCTTCAGAGTTTGGGTCTCCCGAAGACTCTCCCATGGGAAACATGCGTGGCCATGCAATGCTGAAGCGATAGTTTTTTAATCCCATGGCTTTCATCAAAGCAAGATCTGTCTGAATCATATTGTAGCTGTCCGTTGCAACATTCCCTGTGTCTCCTTTACTCTTCACACCTGGATTGATGGGGCACGGAGCAGTTTTGCAGCAGTAGCTGCAGTTTGCTCCTGGCATGCGTGGCCCTGCTGTATTTGCACCTGAAAAGGTATCCCAAATGGAAGCTCCTCTCCCACCTGCATTGTATGCACCTTCGATCTGGTATGACGCTGTTCCAACTCCCCAAGCAAAACCTGCAGGAAAGTTTCCCTTATAGGAATAAGTTTCAGGCCATGTCCCCCACGGATAAGGCTGTGGGTATGTTGGGCACTTTTCAAAGCCCAAACATGACACGGAAGTTGACCTTTGCAAGCCCTGTCCACGTGCACTCAACAGCACAGAAGTTGACTCTTGCAAGCCCTGTCCACGTGCACTCAACAGTATGCAAACGATCACGCCACAGACAGCACAAAAACATAATCCAAGAGTTCCAAGCGCCAGCACTCTTTTCACTCTCTGTGTGCCTTCCTGCCAGGGTCAGGCGAGTGTATTCCACCATCAAACATCATCAAACTTGAGGCCGGGGGTGGATGACGAAAGCTAGCGGGGTAGGAGAAAGAAGGAAGGGAAGAGGTGAGTGGCGGAGGGACTGTCATCATCGTGTCGCGGCATTGTTCGTCCCAACGAGGATGCAACAATGATATATGATATATGATATATAACAATGATATATATGGGGGAGGGGGCAGGGGGGGCCCTTTCGCGTGAAAAAGCACGTGATGTCCTTGGGGAGCCCGGAATACTTGCTAAAGCAAGAAGACTCTAGCGAGCTGACGCTAGCTTTCGTGATAATGCCAATAATTGCCAATAATGATAAAATGTAATTGATTAACGATGATGGTGATGATGATGATGATGATGATGATGACGATGATGATGATGATGATGATGATGATGATGATGATGATGATGAAGATGGACGATGACGAGGACGATGACGATGACGAGGACAAGGACGAGGACGAGGACGATGATGATGATGATGATGATGATGATGATGACGATGACGAGGACGATGGCGAGGACGATGACAATGATGATGATGATGATGATGATGATGATGATGATGATGATGATGATGACGATGATGATGACGATGATGATGATGGTGGTGATGGTGATGATGATGATGATGATGATGGTGATGACGAGGACGATGGCGAGGACGATGACGATGATGATGATGATGATGGTGGTGGTGGTGGTGGTGATGGTGGTGGTGGTGGTGGGGGGGCCCCCCTTTCGCGTGAAAAATCACGTGATGTCCTTGAGCAGCCCCCGGAATACTTGCTAAAGCAAGAAGACTCCAGCTAGCTGACGCTAGCTTTCGTGACAAGCAATCTCAAAGCTTTCACAGGATCTCAATCAACTTTAAGCTGCCGGGCCTCTGGCTCTTCTGCGCTGTCAGATTCCATCCACATGCTGACATCACAAGCATTGAAGGTTGGGCTCTGTTCACGCGGAGGAGCCAGCATGTTGAGACAGTGTATGTGACTAAAGTATACTAAAGTGACTTGGTATGTCTTAGAATGAAATCTAAAGCGTAGACTTGCCACTAGGGTCTTAAGATTGTCCTTGAATTGTCCATGCAAATTGAATGTGTTCTACTGGTACCAGCTAGGTACCAAGCAAATCCTTGGATCTGTATTGGACTTAAATCGTCACAAGTTCCTTCTATCTTGTTATAGACTCTGGATGACTCTGGTATGTGCGTTCAATCTTTCCTCTTGCTGTATTCTTATTTGTGCTTTCGTGATGAAACAGAACGGCAGACTAGGCAGATGTAATTCCATCAGCTCTCCAAAGCTTTGATGCAAAAGAAAATACATCTGCTGTGTGCCTCCAACAAACAAGCAAAGAAGAACATGTTGGAATGCACAAATTTGCAAGCTGGAATGTTCTGAACTGCAAATTCTGTTGGAATGCACAATGTGAGAAGGGTTGAAGAAAATCTGTTTTTGCTACTCTAATCGATCACTTTGCGAACATTGACGAGGGAAGTCAAACTTAGTCGGCTTTGAGGCGTTGAGTTGCCCATCCACCTGCAAAGCCGGCAGCAGCTCCAACCTGGGAGATCAGTTAAAACCTGAAATTTCTGGAGGTGTATCTTAGCATCTCTTAGCATCTCTTAGCATCTCTTAGCATCTCTTAGCATTCTTTGATAATTTTGATATTCGTTGTTTCATCTTGGTGAATGTGAAAATACATGAAAATACTAAGCTCGCAACAGTACTTCCCAGAACAAGACCAGTTCCGCCACCAACCGCTGCAAAGACCGGGATGGAAATTCCAAAGGTGAAGAGTGCAGGAAGGACCCCCAGGCCAGCTCCAATTGTTGTCCCAATGATGGTTCCAAGACCGGCTCCAATCTGTGTGCCTTTCTTGGCATATTGAGTGAAGGAAAACGAGTAACTGAGTTGTCCAGGTGAGGAGCTTACCTCACATTGTTTGCTTTTCTTCCAAGCAATATCGGAATGGATTTGTGTTCTGTCCTGTGCTTCGTCTTGCTTGTAATAAGGATGATGTCCTTCGTGACTGCCTTTGCCCAAGTCATTTCTGAACTTCTTCTTGATATACTCCTCGACCAAGTCTACCTCCTCTTCAACTAGCTTCAAAAACTTTATCGTGCGCCACCATCGAAGCAAAAGTGTTGCATGCTCTCTGCATCCCTCTTGGTTCAGCACAAATGCGAAGAATACATTCAAGGCAACCACACTGCAGTCCAGAAAGTGCCAGGGATTTTGCATGACTTGACACGGTGCAACTGCAAGCTTCAACAGCATTTCAAGGGCAAAAAAGACAACAATAATCTTTGAAACAGCTTCGATGCTCTCTAAGAACAGAGCGGTCCTCTCTCCTTCTGCTGTTTCGCAAATGAAAGCATGATCCAAATGTCTCAGCACCATCTCGTCAGTTGTTTTTACATGGAACAAGCAAAGGACTTTGGTTTCAACGCCAACTTCTATGCAAATCATGCACAGTTCCATTGTCACCAGCAGCAAGATGACGCATTCTGCAAGTTTTGTGTGCAGAAGTCGGCCCAGTTCTAAACGGCATTTGGCAAGGCAATTTAGATGTGCACCCAAAAGAGCTTCAATTCTCAGGCGTTCATGACAGCCCTGGCTGTGCTTTGGAGTCACTTCCAATAATTCTTCCAAGGAAGCAGCTGAAGCAGCTGAAGCAGCTGAAGCAGCTGGCAAGCGCATCAGAATTGGGCTCGCAGAAGTTTGAGACTCGACCAAGGAAATGCTGAGGAGCACGCTCTTCATGGCAGAAGGATACCCCTAAAAGATCCAAGCAGTATGACAGCTTCCAAAGCTTCATTAGCTCCTAATTCATTTCGGCTCTATCACCGCAAAACAGTGCACCGCGAAATGTTGGATTGAATTCACGGCAGCAAAACCGAGAGTACAACAAATCACACATCGACCACGCTGCAGAGTAGCTTTTTGCCATGTTTTGACATCACTCTCAGCCGTGCATTTTTAGTTCTGAAAAAAAAAACTGTCTTGCATGCAAGATTGAATTTACAGCTGCCACTTGCACAGAAAAGTAACTACTGCATGTCCACTTTGGTTTTAATCAAAGGATTCAGCAGGCAATTCAGCAAATGGCCCGAAGGGATCCAAAGGGCAGCTTTCGGATTAATTAATCTCGGCCGGTATGCATACAATGCTCAGGATTTGCCAAAGGGCACCAACCTTCAAGAACCAGGAAATGTACACAATACGATACTCATACCCAATGCTGCGCTGCAATGCTTGTACAACATGGCCGCAAGATGCCGCAAGTGACACTGCAACTCAGTGCAAAAATTCAATGACTCTCCATACCAGCCATACCATGACCTGCTTGGATGAGGTGGCCTTGGCCAGGTTGAACGCCTTGAATATCCTCACACAAATATTCGAAAAAAAAGATGATTCAAGCAGATCTGGCTATGACCGGATCACTGCACAGGGCGGCCACCCCTGTCACCCTTGCCTCCTTGTGCAGTGCTTGTTCCACATTGTCGAAGACCTGCCAAGCCCCCACCAGTCTATCCAGGATATTTGTCTTGAGCCGGCATCAAGCCAAATACCGAGAGTGTGGCTTCTGTGGGCCTGGATTTCACGATCCGTGACCCAAGTCCTCGCGAACCTCATGAAATTATCCTCTGTTCACTTCCGTTTTTCACCCACCATGCAGGGAAGCAGGACAGAATACGGCTGGCCTTATCACGCCTCTAGTAACGCACCCACGCACAATGCACTCGGGAAAGACTGGAAGGTTTCCCCGAAAGGTGCCCTGGCGCTTCCCATTGCCCTGCTTGCATTGCTTCCGAAACTTACCCATGCTTCCCCTTTTTCATGTTTTGCGCATGACGCAGCTTCCAGCCTTACAGAAAGTCTGCTTTCGGATGGGATCTGGATCAAACGCGCTCAAGCATAGCGTGTAGAAAGGGTCATGCTGAAGCGTTTCAAACTTCTGCAGCAAGGGGAGTGCGTGAATGAATGCCTGCAGTACAAAGGTTTAGAAAGGAAAGTTGCTATGCCTCAGCTCTCATCCAATTCATGTTCAACCACTGATAAATCCCTGAAGAGACGCTGCGGTTGTTTCTACTGATGCCTCGTTTCTGCGCAATAGATTCGAAACCTCTACCAACTAGATCCAACTTGTATCTTGATGCATCTTGTGGACACAATGTCACAAATCATGAATTTCAAAATGGTCTGCCTTCACCTGAGAGATCCTGAGGTCCTAAAGGATCCTAAAGGCAGTAGGTCTGTTGCATTGCCCAGCCCAAGATGGACCTGTCGGTTTTCCTGATCATTCTGCTTGTCCACTCTCTGGCGAAGCTCCTTTGAACAACAAAGGACCATGCTTTAGTAGCTAAAATAACTGCCCTACGCTTCCAAGACTCTATATATATAATTATATTTTTACAGTTCAAAATAACAGTAATAATAATCATCAACAACAAGCGGTACTAAAGGATTTTCAGAATTAAGTTATGTATGGTTATGTGTTGTTCTTGTGCTGGATGTGTCATGACATGTTGCGCCGAACCATGACATGTCCACTTCTTTGGGTCCACTGGTTTTACGCGGCCTCGCTGAGACGAGCTCGAATGTCGTCTTCATCCTGCCAATAACATGTGCATACCAACATATGCAATGCATTTCAATGCTATATAATAAATTCAATGCAACACCACATCACAGTGTCGCGAGCTGTCTGCTCCTTTCAAAGCTGTCCAGCTGTCGGTTGATCTGAATCTGCTGAATCTGAGCTGCAAACACTTGACACCGAAATGTCGGAGATGTTGCCCAAACTTGGCCGACCACGTGTGCCTGCGACATTTATAATCAACTTGAGCGCACTTGGCTTCTCATGGCTCACTGGTTAAGCTGGATAGCGGGCCATACTCTTGGAATCTTCTTTCACTCCTTGACCGAATTGACCTTGATGTTTTTGAAAAAGTGTGCAACCCTTTGCTTCCAAAATCTAGACTTCCGAAAAACGACTTGGTCTAATGTTGAGCCTAAGTCGTGTCGTGCTGGGTACTTGTATGGGGCCAACGCTAAGCAGTGCAGCATTGAATCATACTGAATCTATATGTGTGTATATTATATATATATATACGAATTATATACGTCTATATCTATTGTAACATATTGTGGCCATCTCAGGCGCCTGAAATGGGGTCATGTATGGGGTTGATCAGCCTACCGATGCAAAAGCCGAAACCGATTCAGCATTATATTCCAGCTATACCGCCTCAAAGTGGTGGACTTATCCTAGGGCCGAAATGCAAAACACTCAACCTTGCTCAGCACAGGGAGACACGGTCGGCCACAGGCCAGCGTGTTTTCACAGGTTTGGCGTTACTTGTGTGTGTGTGTGTGCGCGGATTTCTCACAAGAAACTGAAAAAGAAAAACGCCAAAAATTGATTGGCACCGACATGACCCCAAGGGCGGAGATACCACTTTATGCCTCAACACAGTGCGCATAGTGGATGGAAGCTTGTCCTGTGTTACTATTAACTACTAAAAAAGGAACGCACCCCCCAAGGTGTCCCTACTATTTTGCCTCATACTTACTAGATTCCTGTGGTAAGCCCCCGCAACTCAAGCCTGGTGAATAGAAAAAAACGCGATCGGCACATGTTGGACATGTCGGGACATGTCGGACCCCGTCTGGCGTGACTGCGATTCTCGCAGTGTGCAAACTGTGACTGAGTGATACTGAGCGACTATTCTCCAGCGCTGTACTTCTCAAAGCTGTGCCTTCATCTTGGCATCCAACTTCGCACCTCACCAAGGCAACAGACGCAACAATACTTTAGGGGGCAAACGTTCATCGAGGCAAATGATTGCCGCATCTTGTTGCAATTAAAACTGTCTGCAGCGGAGCGATGCCAATTCACTGATGTGTCTGGTTGCCTTTCAGAATACGCTGCACTGAAAAGAAAGCTGAGGTGCTATCAATGCTATGGGCCATCCACAGTGAAAGGGGAAATGGCACTGCCATGCCCCTTGTTCAGCAAGCACAGCGGTACACAAATGAGTATAGTCAAAGGAAGTTGGGAAGCAATTTCCGAGTTACGAATGACTTTTTACTTGGTGCAATTGACTATGATGAAGGGTGGTAGATCCTGTAACAATACATAATGTACCAATACATCACAAACCAATAAGAAGCAACGAAATTGACCTTGAGGAAGGGTGGTAGATCATATAACAATACATAATATAACAATACATAATGTACCAATACATAACAAAAGAATAAGAAGCTATGAAATTGACCTTGAGGAAGTGATGATGAAGGGGAGTGGTGACGAAGGGAAGTGGTGAGGAAGGGAAGTGGTGAAGAAGGGAAGTGGTGACGAAGGGAAGCGGTGAAGAAGGGAAGTGATGATGAAGGGGAGTGGTGACGAAGGGAAGTGGTGACGAAGGGAAGTGGTGACGAAGGGAAGTGGATATGTTTTGGGGAGGAAGCCGGAGCACGAAACCTTGTGTTTTTCCGTGTACAGTGGCTGCAGCCGGCGATGAAAGGTACCTCGTCTGTGCGGCGGGTGCGGCTGGGGTCGTTTCATGCGCGAATTGTTCCTCCTATGTGTTTTGCAACGAGTGGTTGTTCCTGTGTGCGTAGTTCTATGCGGTTCTTGAATCTCTGGTTGCATGATCGCATTGGAATGGCTGCATGAATGTTGCATGGGCTATGTTTTGGGGAGGAAGCCGGAGCACGAAACCTTGTGTTTTTCCGTGTACAGTGGCTGCAGCCGGCGATGAAAGGTACCTCGTCTGTGCGGCGGGTGCGGCTGGGGTCGTTTCATGCGCGAATTGTTCCTCCTATGTGTTTTGCAACGAGTGGTTGTTCCTGTGTGCGTAGTTCTATGCGGTTCTTGAAGCTGTGGTTGCATGATCGCATTGGAATGGCTGCATGAATGTTGCATGGGTTATGTTTTGGGGAGGAAGCCGGAGCACGAAACCTTGTGTTTTTCCGTGTAAAGTGGCTGCAGCCGGCGATGAAAGGTACCTCGTCTGTGCGGCGGGTGCGGCTGGGGTCGTTTCATGCGCGAATTGTTCCTCCTATGTGTTTTGCAACGAGTGGTTGTTCCTGTGTGCGTAGTTCTATGCGGTTCTTGAATCTCTGGTTGCATGATCGCATTGGAATGGCTGCATGAATGTTGCATGGGCTATGTTTTGGGGAGGAAGCCGGAGCACGAAACCTTGTGTTTTTCCGTGTAAAGTGGCTGCAGCCGGCGATGAAAGGTACCTCGTCTGTGCGGCGGGTGCGGCTGGGGTCGTTTCATGCGCGAATTGTTCCTCCTATGTGTTTTGCAACGAGTGGTTGTTCCTGTGTGCGTAGTTCTATGCGTTTCTTGAAGCTGTGGTTGCAGATCGCATTGCAATGGCTGCATGAATGTTGCATGGGCTATGTTTTGGGGAGGAAGCCGGAGCACGAAACCTTGTGTTTTTCCGTGTAAAGTGGCTGCAGGCGACGATGAAAGGTACCTCGTCTGTGCGACGGGTGCGGCTGGGGTCGTTTCTGTCGCGAATTGTTCCTCCTATGTGTTTTGCAAAGAGTGGTTGCTCCTGTGTGCGTAGTTCTATTGTGTTTCCCAACTCAGTTTCTGCAGATCGCATTGTAGTGGCTGCGTCAAGGTTGCTCGGTGCCGCGGCTGCATGCGTGATACTATTGTCTTTTGCAGCTGAACAGCGTAAATCGTATTGGAATGGCTGCATCAGGTTGCGATAGTGATTTGTTAGTAGATTTTCTCAACTTTGGCGCTAGTAATTTTCCTTTTAAAAATCATTTTAAAAAATGCTTCAAAATCGTTTTTTTTGTGCTTTGGCGTCGAGATCCGGTTTTGAAGCTGCAATTTTCCACACCGTTGCGCGTAGTTCTATTGTGTTTTGCAACTCAGTCTCTGCAGATCACATTGTAGTGGCTGCGTCAAGGTTGCTCGGTGCTGCGGCTGCATGCGTAATACCATTGTTTTTTGCAGCTGAACATCGTAAATCGTATAGGAGTGGCCGCAGCCAGGCTGCGATAGTGATTTGTCAGCAGATTTTCTCAATTTTGGCGCTAATAATTTTCCTTTTAAAATTCCTTTTAAAAAGTGCTTCAAAATCGTCTTTTTGTCGCTTTGGCGTCGAGATCCGGTTTTGGAGCTGCAATTTCCGACGCCATTGCACGTAGTTCTATTGTGTTTTGCAACTCAGTCTCTGCAGATCGCATTGTAGTGGCTGCGTCAAGGTTGCTTGGCGCAGCGGCTGCATGCGTAATACTATTGTCTTTTGCAGCTGAAGATCGTAAATCGTATTGGAATGGCTGCATCAAGGCTGCGAAAGTGATTTGTCAGCAGATTTTCTCAATTTTGGCGCTAATAATTTAATTTTCCTTTTAAAATTCCTTTTAAAAAGTGCTTCAAGATCGTCTTTTTGTCGCTTTGGCGTCGAGATCCAGTTCCTTAGTAGTAGTACTGGGAAGTGATTCATGAAAGCTTAGATGACATATGAGAAGAGATGAGATCAGAAGAGATGAGCTGGGATAAGGTGAGAAGAGCTCAGATGAGATGAAGTGTGGAGTGTGAAGGGTGCAGTGTGAAGTGTGGGACGTGAAGGGTGCAGTGTGAAGTGTGGAGTGTGAAGTGTGAAGTGTGGACTGTGAAGTGTGGAGTGTGAAGTGTGAAGTGTGGACTGTGAAGTGTGAAGTGTGGAGTGTGAAGTGTGAAGTGTGGAGTGTGCAGTGGGAAGCGTGCAGTGTGAAGTGTGGAGTGTGAAGTGTGGAGTGTGAAGTGTGAAGTGTGGAGTGTGCAGTGCGCAGAGTGCAGTGTGAAGAGTGCAGTGTGTAGTGTGGAGTGTGAAGACTGTCAAGTGTGAAGTGTGACGTGGAGCTTCAAATGTGACATGTGAAACAAGACACCAGTTTCGCAGAGTGCACGCACGCACGGGCTTCGCTGGCGCACGGCGCATGCAAGTTCTATAGATGAGAAAGGTCTTATATATATCTTTAAGGCAACTTCCGCCCCGCCTCGTGCGGGTACTACTGGTAATGTATAGTAATGTATAGTATAGTTGATTAGAGTAATAGAGACTCAAGTGGTTACATTTAAGATATTTTAAGATGGTCTAATGTTTTGAGGTGTTTTAAGCAGATCTCAGTCGTCTCGTTGTCTGGCGCTGACAGCTGTCGAGAATCCGAGCTGCCAGCAATGGACGCAAAAGTGTCACAGGACTCAGCACTCCATCTTTTTCCTGACATGTCCAGGTCTTGACGCATCACGAATCATTAAGAACATTCAAAAACCTTTCAATGCACTGCAGATGCACTTCTGAAGTTTTGTTCACATGAGTCTTCACGATGAAAAGTCATGTCTCACCTCTCCCTGCGGCATGAAACTTAGAGCCTTGTCACGATTGCGCACGATTTGAAGCCTATCGACCTTCTGAGTTTTAAAGACACCCGTTACAAGTTCCCCTAGGATTCAAAACTATTGGTGTTCAATGCATATCATATCATGCTTGGAATCTCACCGTTCGCGGCGTCATCAAGTCAGCCACGTACCTGCTAGCATCATGCTAGATCTTGGCTGTTGGTAAGATAGTCACTGGATAAGACTACTCCATGATACATGTAAAATCAAACCAGCTTACCCGACAGCAAGTTCCAGGGTTCCAGGGTTTCGGTTCTCCAGGGCTGACAACAAACGGCGCATCACTCCCAGACTCAGAGGTTGAAACCCAGTCAGTGCGGTTGGGAATATGCCGAACAAAAATGTCACGCTTAGTCACGCTTCCACCATTAAAAACTCAAACACAAACAACACCAGCGTCGAGCATAGGACCATGACTAGTTCTCTCAGGGTTAATCAACTCACCACTACAAGTTGATCCAGCAAAATATTCATATGTTTGATGCCGGATTTTGGTTGCCCGGCTTCTGCGACAGCTGGCATCAAACTGCATGAGTTGTAGACAAGTCATTTGAGTGTTATTGGCAGTTATTGGCAAAACCAAGTCTAAGGAGTCTAATCTCACCATCGCAGATATCAAGATGATTCAAAATGCAAGGTACAATCGTCGGGCTCGTCTGTCCATTGAGTCCTTTCTCGGTGCCAGTTGCTTTTGGAGAGGCGGCAGATGCTGCAGAAGAATCACCATGAAAATGTATCTGAAAATCCAAAGCGATTGCTTTGCGATGCCTCAGGTAGTTGTGTCGCTCAATTTTGCGCTGTTGGCTCAGTACAAGAAATGGCGACAAAGAAATTGAACTTCTTAGTTTTGAAATCGATCATGTTTTGTTGTACAGATTTATACAGTAGGTGAATCCATGTGAATTAGTCGAACCAGCTCGACCAATGTGGGACTGCGTCGTTGTGGTCCTCGCCGCTGGAAGGTGCTCTGCCACGGGCGGACGCTGGAGCAACCACCTGAAGCAGGACAGCCGTGAGCGCCACATGCCACAGAGTGCCAGCACGAGTGTCAGGACGAGTTGCTGGAGTCCCTGTCTCGGTGTGTCTACGTTGGTGAAAAATCGTTTGAAGATGTTTGAAGCATTTTGAAGTAGCGCAATTCCAATTCTGAAACCATGTCGTAAGTGTTATATTTGAGCCCAGCCTCCGAATTCCACCAAGCCTATTGCATTTCCAGCATGAAGTTCCAGAAACAGAGACGGGTGCTCTACTACTCTACCACGTTTAATTTTGTAGCTTTCGAACCACGACTGAAACATTTGAAACCATTGCAACCACGAGATAAATAAGATTTCAAACCGCGCATCAAAATGCATGAAAGATCATGAAAGATCATGAAACAGATTCAAAATGATTCAAACTGAGGTCCAAACTGTTGGCGGCCTTCCCCTTGGAGTCTTGGGAGTGACACCTGAGCATGAATTTCAGGAGGGGATCCAGGGAACAGATTTAAGCGACTGACGAGCTGCGCCAGTTTCCCGCAAAAAAAATCCCTCAAGACACTTCAAGACACCTTCAACGATCCATAGCAATCCTAAGTCTACCAAATTATGACCTAGTTGTCACAAACACCCAACCCCTAAGGCCTTCATGAAAACCAGAAACATCGTTGAAGACACGCGTCAGATCGAGGCGCAATGGCAGAAAATCCTCGTACAATGCAGTTTGCACAGAGGATTGCAAAGTTTTCAACCACTTTAGTGGACAAGGAAATGTAAGGAAATTGCAGATTTTTAAGTATATATACAAGATAACTAAGGGCTCGCAGGCCTCCCTTCCCTGAGTCTTACAGACATGCGATTCGCGATTGCGTCAACTCGCGAGAAATGCTCCGGAGCTGGCCGCGCCTGAATGCGAGCTGTGGGCCTGGCATGTTGAGAGAACAAGATATCCCACCCATTCCCACTGTTGGCAGAACAGGACCTGAGCAACTAAATTGCTCAACGATCACACAACCTCGAAGATCGGCACGGACTTTTCCGTAGATTTCACTCATCTGAAGCACCTGCAAAGATCATTTGCCCGAAGCACCTTGTGCATGTCTTGCTCCAACTCCCGCTGCAAAGAGCGCTTCCTTGGCGCTTTCAGCATAACATAGCATAACAATCTGTTCAGAATCTCTGCTCTGACCGCCAGAGCAGGACATGCGTTGTCGGAATTCAGCTGCATTCAGAACTGAAATGGTATGATTTATGACTTCCAAGAATGCATGCAGGTCGCCGGAACTGCTGGAACTTGGACCTCAAGGGTTGTTTGGCCAAACTGGTGCAAGTCCATTGTGCCATCGAAATATGCTCTCAATAGCATTGAGTCCTGCCACATCTGCATGCGCATGTGCCTCTGTACGTGTGGGTGTGCGTTTGCGCCCTCTTGCGGCTTGCGCATGTCTGTATATGTCTCTGTCTGCATGTCTTAAATACTGAATCAGGAGAGTTCTCCATGGATGTACACGCCCCGGTCCACAAGACCCAACACATGTTCAGAGCAGCAAATGTCTTCGAACTGTATTTGAAGTGACTGGCCACTCATCAACATAGTGTCGTTGCAACTCTGGCTTTACCAAGAAACTGGAATGGGCCCGAATGGACCTGCAAAAGTTGCTTGGGGCCCCTACTGCTGTCTCGCAGGGCATGGGCCTTAAGCAGATGTGCAAACTTGCACCCGGCAAGTCAGAATGCAAGTCAGAAATTCTCAGGCAGAGAATGTTCGGAAGACAGAAATTCAACAGAAATGCTCATATTTCATCATATTTCCAAGTTTGCTTTCAGGTTTTGCTCTCAGGTATTGCAAGCACTTGAAGAACAAAAGCACGGCTGGAGGCTCGCCTCTACGTCATTGGCAGCCTGGGCCTTGCTCATCAAGGGAACATCCTGACGCGACTGGACTGCCATGTTCGTCAGAATCAGTGGGAAGACTTCCCATGCTCAGCCCATGCTCCAAGATCACTTCGACATTAGGAGAGCTTGGCAGCTTGGCAGGCTACTGAGTACAGTGGTGGGAAACACTTCCATGCTGCAGCGGCAGGGCAGGGACTGCGATATCAGAGGGAAGAAAGTTACTAGGCGGGGGCGAAGGGTGAAACGAAAATGTGAAAGGAAATATGTCTGATAGCCGAGAAAGCTCTGAATTCATCTGAATTCTGCAATTCACAGAAAGGTAAGGACCCCAGGCAAGCAACATTCCCCAGGCCCCAGAATAGAGACTTTAGCTGACTTGGTTGTAGTTACCAAAGTCGTTTTTAATAGATTCGATGTCTTTCTGTTATATAGATCCTATGTTTCCACAACTGATTGAGCTTTCAGCTTGAAGCACTGCCTTTGCAGAACAATGTTGAAATGACACAAATGGCTGTCCATTTGCTTTTTAACTACTGAACAGTGCTGCGGAAATGCCAAGAATTGCTGACAGTGCCAGGCGTACGCGAGATGTTTCGAAGGAGTTTCTCAGGAAACCTGTGTGCCACTGTGTGCCATGAATGTTTTCAGTTTGGCTCTAGCACGACAGAGAGATTGCCAGTCTTAGAGTGGTTCCAAGATGTTCCAAGTAGCTCTGTTTGCCTCGAAGCCACAAGGATCACATGGATCACAAGGGCACCTGACATCACCTGACCTTGTGATGGCCTCGCCTTGACTCGTTGACTCGTTGACTCGTTGACCCTTCACTTTCCTCCAAGACAAGCCGAGGTCGCCTTTGGGCTGCGGGCAGGGTCGTTCCACGAGCGAAGAGCCGATCCTTCAAAAGCACTGCCAGAAACGACGCACCAAATGGCACGTTAGACAAGTGAGACAAGACATTGTATGTGGGATGATTGCACTGATTGCACTTCAATTGTTCCTTATTGTGGACCATAAATCCCTATGACAGGGTGTACAATCCTTCAAGACTGGGAAGTGCCCAGGAAGGAGTTTAACTGCGGCTGGGGTTTGTGTTAAGAAATTTTATCCAAGAAGAAAGTAGACTCTACTTTGCGGCAAAAGTAAATTATATACCTAGACTCTCGATTTTGCATTATGTTACAATTATGTTTGTAGTATTTGCAGTCTGCACGGTAGCTGTGCGAAAAGGGTTTTTGAGTACTCAGATCCTGTGGTGACCAAAAATAGCATCTGTTTGTGGGACAAAAAAATCCTAGACTCTATATAGCTTCGATGACAACAACATCAATATTTTGAAAGCTTTGTTATCTTTCTAGTATTTGCCGTCTGTGTGGATGTGCAAAAATGGAAAAGTTCCACGTATGATCCACGGTATCTTTACATGTGACGTCGAACAAACCTGGCCAGAAGCTGACTTTGATCAAGGCAATTACATTCCTTCAAAAAGGGCTTGAAACTGGATTGACTGGGTTTGCACATTTTGAAGTGCCAGTTGCGAACAATTGATTTCACTTTCCAAAACCAAGTAATGTCAAAAATATTGGAAGACAATTTCTGCACCTAAGTGACCTCAAATGTACCTCAAATGGACCTCAAATGTCCCTCTACTGGAGCTTTGAAGCTCGCAAACCATCGCAAACCTATTTGAAGCACCCTTTTTACAAACTCGGTGTCCTTCTCTCGAGGTGCAGAAGTTCCACTTTTTCCCATGTTTTGGAAGGTTCTGACCGAAGTTTATGCATTGGAAACTTGGTGACTTGATGGTTTTCTCGTTTTCTCTAGGTCAAACTTGTTTCTAACTGGTTCCAAACCCGTTTGGGGGGCTTCCTCTGTAAGCAAAACAATTGCTTACAAAAGAAGCCCCCCCAAAAGGGTTTGAAACCAGTTTGAAACCGCTTTGAAAAGGGTTTGAAATGAGGCCCAAGAAGCAACGAGCATCCATCTCTCATTTTGAAACTTGAAGTTCCGCCTCTTGGAGGAACAACCTTTCAGAAACCCTCTCTGACATTCCTTTCTCTGCTTTAGAAAAGGAAAGGAAGAATGGTTTGAAACGTGTTTGAACCGTGTTTGAAACAGAGAATTCTACGGGATCCATACCCTGTTCATTTTACAATTTTGCTAACAATTGGTTTCAATTTCTGCACCTAAATGACCTCAAATGTACCTCAAATGTACCTCTACCAAGGTTTCAAGCACTGAAAAGGATAGGGGAATGTTGGATTGAGAAACCTAGTTTAGACTCTACCTCGCGAAATAGATTTCTTCAGCCTGTGTCGATTAAGAAATATTCTAGGCTCTACCTCGAAAAAGGCGATTTCTTAGCACAAGCCTCAACCGTATTTCGAGTGAAATTTAAAATAAACGCAAAAACAGATCATGCATTGCCATGCATTCCAGTAGGAAATGATATGCAACAACCATGTAAAATATGTAAATGTAAATGGGCAGTACTCACTGCACGCTTTGCCGTATGCACTGTATGCACCTTCAACGCCGATCAGCGCGAGCGGTAGACGACCATTTTGGGAGTGTTGCGAGATGGCGGCCTCAGAGTCGAGGGAAACCCACCCGAGCAACTTAGCCGCCTTAGCCAACTTCGCCAACTTAGTTCAAGCATGTTCAAGCGTTTTGTTATGGGTGGCATAAGGAGAGCCCGGTGAGCAGAGTGAGCATCTACGTATCTAGGCGACATTAGTTTCATTGCAGAAGCAAGAAAAAATATGAAACCCACGAAACTGCTTCAGAGTGAGGTTATTGCATGTCATTGCATGCCTTTGCATGTCATTGGTTTATCCAGTTTATCCTGGAGCTATTCCTGCATGATCCACCTGCAATACCTTGGAACTGAGATTGCTACCGAGCGCACGGACAGCCCTTTCTGGATCACAGGCTGCCTTGATGATGGCCACTGCAGCCTCGTCCCAACGACCAAGCAGACACACAGAAAGGGCAACATGAGAATCGAGACGTGGTGAGACTCCACTAGAGGTTGCTAGCATGTGCAGCATGATCGAATCGCTACCCCGGACAAGTCGCAACAAGTCTTCATGTTTGAATTTTGTTCTATTCTCCAGTGGCAATTCAGAGAAAGGGTTCTTGCAGGCATGACAAAGCCGCACTATCAAGCTTGAGCGTAAGTGCAAGTAAAAAGCTCTTCAAAAGCTTTGCCGGATTCAGCCACGCCCAAAACAAATAGGATCAGTATCACACACATGCTTCCAGGTTGTATGGATTTCAAAGGCATGTACAACAGCCAAAGTGGTGGTCAATTGTCTGCCTTTGAACTTCTGACTGCACTTTTGACATCCAAATGCAGTGAGAGTGCGGAAGGCATTGAAATGGACACCTAATGATACATACCTGATAAGGATGTAAAGAAAGCCAGGTCTATATATATATATTATAACTGTGATGATGTGAGTTATGGAGTGAATAAGTTAAGAAAACCAAGTTGTCGTGGGAGGGAGGTAGGAACGGAGCGGAGCGGCAGTGTCTCATGGCCAAGTGTGCGGCCAGAATTGGAGGTTGACATCCTATGATTCCTATGATGTCTTGATTGCGAAGGGCCTCTCCCTCAAGTTGCAGTCCAAAGGTTCGAAGGTTCCGGCGCCGATTTGGTCATCCGAAGTGGTGAGGAAACTGAAGAAATTATGAAAATTAAATATATTGAGGAAATCATAGGAAATCCAAGACATTGAGGAAATTTAGGGAACTGCGAAAATTGAGGAGATTGTGAAACATTATAGATTGAGGAAAGTATAGGAACTGGAGGAATTGAGGAAATTGAGGAAATTGAGGAAATGAGAAAATCGAAGGAAATGAGAAAATTGAGGAAATGTTGTTCTTAAGGGAGGCACCCTTAAGCGCAAATCATCGAGATTCAAGAACGGGCAGGCACCAACGTGTGCTCCAATGGTCGCTACTTGTTCTCAAGGGCGGGCGCCCTTCAGCGCAATGCGCAAGTGAGACATAGCAGATCACCTTACGTAGCGAAGGCTCCCATATTGAAACCGGATTTTTTCTTGCAATATCATATCCATGTTGCAATAACGTCTTAACTTGGCAACCTCATACCCATGTTAATGTTGCGAATAATTGCGAATAAATGGACACTGCGAAAGAACGTTGCCTATCGATCTATGCATCATTATGCATCTAAGTATTTCTGCATGTACATCTGCTGTACAGAGACAGACCAGGATATTGACATCTAGCTAGCATTCGAAGAAACTTCTGTGTCGGGGAGCCTGGTTCAAGCGGCTTCCCTTTCGGAGCCCTTTTTGACACTTTACAAATACCTGATGTGGCAAGCCTTCCTGTAGCAACCCTTTGGCCTCCTAACCGCAACCCCGTACCTTAAGAATCCTCGTGTGGCAACCCTCTACCCAAAGGGAATCCTTTTCCATGACCCATAGGGGAGGACCAGCAGGGAATCGATACCCACTGGCACTCAATTGCCACGCGGTCCATGACCCTCAAAAAGCGTTAATTTTCCAACCTAAGTCGCAACCTAATTTGGAGTTGAGTGGTCCTTTTCGTCAGACCGACCCAGACCCTTTCAGCTCACTTTGTTCGCAGTAAACAACTTCAACCTAGCCTGCCAGCTTTCGAAATAAACTCGAATGCGCGGGTGTAAAAATGTTGTAAAAGTATATAGTTAAAAAGTCATGTAAATGTTATTATAATGTGTTCCCGAATAGAAAATGACAGAAACGGAACAAAGCAACTGCATCGATCAGTCAGCACCTTTTGTTATGCAGTTGGCTTTGCGGCTGTGTCTCTGTCAGATGCCAATCGCATCTATCACAAATGGTTTCACAGAAACTCTGAACTGCAGTGGTGGTGTCACACGTCAAAATCCACCCAACCCGCCGGAGCGTGAAGCTCGCGCAAGTAAGAAGGGAAAAAAGAGGGGTTGTAGGTGGGAAAACACCACTGTACACCATAAAGTCAGCCGCAACCACCTGGCTCCCGAAGGACCTTAGGTGGCGTGAGAATCGGTCTTACGACGTTTTGAATTTCGTGAAAAAGTGGGGACACTCATCTGGTCATCCAGAAGAGCCCAGAGAAATTTAAAATGAGAAAAAGCTTCACTCACTGGTAGTTGTCGATCAGGATGAAAACCAGTGAAGTTCGGGTGGGTGAGTTCGTCCGCCCACTTATTGTAGTCCCGCTTCATGTGTGAAGGCGCCAATTGAACCCCAGCAACATAGAGCATGGCGATGAGCTGCATTAGGAAGGCTGAGGTAGGCATATGCTTCGTCTTCTGGTTCAACAGGGCAAAGACATTGCCTTGATTGTCTGAAATGAGGCTGAGACGGGTACGGAGCAGAGATTTCCCACCCAAAGCCAAAAGGAAGTGGGTGAGGATCAATGTGCCAAACATCTCGAGGGTCGCAATGCGTCTGGTTGGATCACCATCCTTGTGAGCCCATGGATGGTCTTCAAGGGGTATCTTGTAATGGAACCACCAGGTCTGTTCCTTTGACGGGTTCTCACAGTTTGCAATCCACCCCCCAATGTAGGCCCCATCATCCGGGTGTGCACTAGCATCACTGGCACCCCACCAATTGGAGGCAGGGTCGTAAGGGCAGGGTTGGATCTGGGGGTTGTGGAGCAGCTGGAGGAGAAGCTTCGCAAAGGATCGTATGAGCTTGCCGGGCTTCCCTGAAGTAGTCGTCGCGGATTTCCATGCCCAAAATGGTTGAAGAAAAGGGCGGCTGAGGGGCCAAGCTGCCGTTGCCCAATTTAATCGACCCAATGCTCTCTCAATCTCCTTTACCGTGAAGGTGTTGCCAGCCGCGATGGTCTGGAGGAGTGCCTCAAGTGTCTTCCTCTTATCTGGAGGGAAGTCTACCACTGGTCCGCATGGGTTGACCTGGAAACCTAACCAGGTGTTGACCTCAGATAACACCGTCTTGTGCCAACTGAGGGGGCACCCCATGGCTGCTAAGAAGAGAAGTAATTTTGCCGTATCCTCAGTGGCGGAGTCCGTTCTGAGGAGCCAGCAAAAATCATCCACAAACACAAAGCCCCAGTCTATGTGTGGAAACACCATGTAGCATAGTCTGAGGAGGAGTGCCGCCATTCTGCCCCAATAAAGTTGGGCGCTGGCCATACCATAGGTACCCACCTTGTTTATCCACCATTCGCCATCAAGTTGTGCTACCTGGTAGCGCCATTCGTTGGATTGGACCTTGATGCGGCGGTGTGCTTTTGAAACATCTGCTTTCAAGAGCGCCCAGGTGGTTTGTTTGTGTGGAGGTTGCCATGCTAGGTCGGTGCAAGACGCTACCGTCCCAGATGTCTTCTCCTTCTTGGTGGTTAGCCAGTGAATGGCTTGAACACAGTCCATCACTGTGGGTGCAGTGGTCTTCTCAACTGTGTTTTGTTGGATGTGTGAGTTTGCATGGCCCCAGCTTCCGTCGTAAATTGTGCGGATTTTATCTCCTTCATCAATTGCTGCCAGGGGCCCTGGGCAGAGTTCATCTGGGGTGCATCCACAGCGGAGGGCGGCCTCCTCCTGTGTGAGTGGGCCTTCAACCATACCCATGTCTACCTCTTCCACGAAGGTCTGTCTGACCTGGGAGGAGAAATCTTTGGCCGAGGGGTAGTTGTCCCGGCCCATGGGTATTAGGAGGTCCTCCCACAGAGGGGATTCTCCTTTGAGTTCTTCCTTTGTAGGCCATATACCCGGTGACGTCCAGGTAGGTGTGGTGACACCTAATGGGACTCCCTTGGCAACCCTTGTGGGGTAGGCTGCGTCTGCATCTCCACCAGCTTCCGCTAAGGCTGAGATGAGGTTCAGGTAGAACGGCTGGCCTGGCTCCATCTCCTCAGCAAGTTGGTGGTCCAGCCCAATCTCTTGGGCAATGGCCCGCCGTGTCTCCTGAAGAAGCTCCTTAGAGAACGGATGTTTTCTCTCACCCCTGTTGATGGACTGTTGGACGTCCTGTGCACATCCTTTTGCCAGGTGGCTGATGGAGTCTCCAATGTGCTTGATCTTGGACTGAGGTCTGAGCGGGGGAGGTCGTCTCCCGGCTGAGGGCTTACCTCCTCCATCACGTAGGGGTCTAGTCTTGAAGCCTGATTGAACGATGATCGGGTCGTCATCCAAAGTCATCGTCTGGGAAAGGGGTACCGATGAGGAGCGGTCTGTCCGACCAGGAGGCTCCCCTTCCTGTTGACATCCGGTGGATGGATGTCCTGTGTTTGGAATGCTCTGGATGATTGCTGCTGCCAGCCCTGCCATCAGTGCTGGCGGGTATCTGCTGAGGTCCCGGGAGGTCATCGCCAATGGCCTCAGGTGTTCAGAATGGTTGCACTGGAGGCCTTGCCAATGGTGAATTGGAAGGTCCGTTGAGAAGGTCGTACTCTTCTGTGCCCTTTGTCCAAGTCTACACTGGTCCAGGTGGATCTGACAGTGATTTACCTCTTTGGCCCACTCCTGATAGACTCTGGTGGCCCATACCGATGAACATTTTGCCGCCGTTGGTGCCCGACTACACTCCGCTGGGTCACGAGGGTGTTCCAAGAACGAGTGGAATCCTTTGTGTTGCCTGGCTTTTGAGGCTAGGGCAGTGATGACCAGTTGCCGGAGCAAAAGGATACTGTCCTTGTCTGTGTCCAACTGTTCTTCCAGGGAATTTGAGTCGAGTCCCCATGTCTGGGAGGGATCACGCCCTCGTACTGGCCTGGGCGCTCCAGGCTTTGGAAACCATCGTAGGATGCTCCAGGTCCGGCAGTTGGGGCCGCCCCCCACAAATGACAACTGGCCCCCCACGGCGGCGCAGCAGAGAGTTGAGTAAAACTCATCCTCCAGTATGTCGTTTGGGCCCTTTTCTGGTGGCCTCAGGATATCCACGGCAAGGAGCCTGGGGGCCAGGTCCTGGTGTTGTTGGATGAGTATGTCATCCAAGGCCCCTCCGTCACTCCGGCCAGTGTAGAGGAGTAGTATGTCCCTCCCTTGGAGACTAGCCGTGGGTTGTGTGGTCCATACAAGGCGTTC